TAAAGGAACCTCATTGGAAGATGTTATCTCACTCATCATGTAATTCCTCATCGACCCCAAATTAGTGTCGGCAATCTGTACCCGATAAAGAACGAGATCGGTAGCCATGGCTACATTGTAGCGGAGCTACACAGCTCCTTAAGTCAGAGGAAGACTTAACGCTCTACGAGCAACTTAGTTCTAAAGAACTAACGACTTTACGAGTCAACAAGCTTTATAGCTTCAGATCCTTGTTCCAGGGGACCTAACGATTCAGTGAATCGACAGCACTTAGTGCTCAAGAGTAGCTACCTCAAGGAGGTGTCGCTAACTCTTAGTGATCAGAGATCAACGATCAAGACGGCTCGCAAGCCACGTGTCTTTCAGATCAAAATGGGAACTGATTTTATTTTTGTTAAAGCCTATAGAATATCTTAATCCTACTCAAAGATCTTTCGTATCTAATGGCTGACACTCGTCAGCCCCTACAAACCGATAAGATATTCTATATCACCTTCACAGAAGCGAACCCTCAGGTGTGTAACACCTCTGGTACAAAGTATCATGATTTCGTGCAACCCCGTTACACCCTCCCCCACCAGACTGACGTTTGCCAAAACGTCAATCGAACTCGTGTTCTCAGCGAGAACAGTGCGCGTACGGTGAACCTCACGGTAACGTACGCTCCAGCACGATGTCCTCATCACCAAACGAGTCAAAGGCTCTGTGTGACTACCTCGGAATAGAGGAAGAGGTGGACTATGGTAGCGATACCAGTGTCCGCGGTGACACAGGGACAACGTCCGGCTCACTGATGCCTGAGGCACAACTTTCGAACGCCCCAAATCCGTTCGCTGAACGTGGAGGTGCGAGCGCGCCGCCAGCGCAGCATGCAGCATCTGGTTCTGATGAGACTATCATCACGAACCCGCTCGATGAGCAACAACAACTGCTTGTTCAAAGAGAAGAAAACGCTCGGCGTTATGCACAGATGACTGCAACCCTTGAACGCCAGCGTGATTATGTGTTCACCCCACCCAGTGTGGAGGAACGTCTGCGTCAAGCGGCCGGCCAAACATTGGCAACGTGGGTCATTGGCCATGGGCCTAAGACTCCTGAGGAGGTGGTGAGCTGCCAGGCACTTCGTGAGAGTTACCTGGAGCCGCACCTAACGACTCAAAGTCAATACAAGGCACGCCTTGACATGCAAGCACGTGGTGCACCAGTTCCACCGATGAAGGGTATACCCATTCTCCTTCTCGCAGGCGAAACAGCGAGTGAAGAAGACGATGCCTTTGTTCACTGGGTGCACCATGTGCGTCGCCTCAGCAACATTTTTGCTCTAAGGGCTAGTGCCCATGCGGCGGATGTGCGTCTCGAACGCAAGCTTCGGTATGATTATGCCAAGCTTAAGGCCAGAGGCCAATTGCGCAAGCGCACGCGCTATGCTTCGGCTACTAAGGTAGCCGCGAGTGCTGGTCAGTCTGTGACCAACAACCCGCCAACCCGCACCACTAGTGGTGGTGAACGGCCTCGGCCTCGAGATGACCATGGCCACGATGCTCAAAAGCCTCCAACGCATATGGGCAGTCTTGCCGAAGGGGTACCTCAAATTCCCATGAGTTTTCAGACTCAGGGTACCCACGCCACTTTACCAGATACTGGTATTGGCCCTGACGACGACGTCGTTTCAGTAGTCTCTCGACATGGAATTGACGACACCCATGCTCATCGAGCAAAGTCGGTGGCGGCCGGTGTACCGGTGGAGGCCCACGAGAAATTGGTTCTCGAAGTGAAGGGTCTTCAAGAGGCCTTGGGTAAGTCCCAGTGCATGCTGGATGCGATGCAAAGCCGCCTTCAGGCGATGGAGCAAGCTCAAACTCGGAGCGAGGCTCAGTTGGACTTGCTGATTCGTCTACAGCAATCCGGGGCAGTGCCCTTGTCGTCGGCGCAAGCGCCTCCAAGTTCACATGGGAAGGATCCCGGTACGGCTTAAGTAAGCCTACGTAGAACACTGGATGTGTGCGCAATTTGCGCGGGAGGTTTAGCGTATACGCAAGTCCTTTCTTGGCCGTGACCGTAAACGGTCCAATAAAGCGTGGACGCAACTTTGTCTTAAAGACAGCAGACACTACATTTGTAGGTAGATTTTTAGCATTGAGTAGTACTTGGTCTCCGACCTCATAAAGTTCAATACAATTTCTGCCTTTGGCATCAGCTTGTTGTTTTTGGGTATCTTGGCTATCAGCCATTGCGTCACGCACATGTCTTAAGACATTTAATCGCGTTGCAAGAAACTCGCTTACCTGTTTTTGAACAGTAGCAGGGCTGATATCAGCAAGCCGATCGGCAACCTCTCCCCCACCAAGCCCTGATTCACGTAGTGATAGCGTTAACGGAACGCGAGGGTGAGTGAGACCGTTTATATAGAACGGAGTAAAGCCTGTTGAGGCATGAACAGCGTTATTCAACGCAAACTCAACAATAGGGAGCATTGAGCTCCAACGCCTAGGCGTATCAGCGCAAACACTGCGCAAAATGTCGTTGATGACGCAGTTTACACGCTCAGTTTGACCGTCGGTCTGCGGATGATCCGCTGTGGACATGTCCAACCGAGTGCCAAGCACCTTGAAGATAGACTTCCAAAACTTCCCAGTGAAGCGGGGGTCTCTATCAGAGATAATTGCCACAGGCAAGCCATGTTGGCGAAAGACACGGTCGATAAACAGCTTTGCTGTACCTTCCGCATCAATGCTATCCGGCACAGCCGCTAAGTGAGCCATCTTGCTCAATCGGTCAACAAAGACCACAAAACCAGTGTTGCCTTCCGAATCTTTCGGTAGGCCAAACACAAAATCCATGCTCATGGACTCCCAACAACCACTGGGTACCGGCAAACTAGCCAGCGGCGCCGCCGCATGTGCCGAGGGTTTTACCCGTTGACACGTTTTGCACGTACGCACATAGGTGCGCACCCACTTATAAAGTTTGGGCCACCAATAACTTTGGCTCACCGAGCTATAAGTCTTCTCACGACCGAGATGACCACTTAAAGCAGTATCATGTGCCTCATAGAGGATCCGATACTTTAATTCCTCATCATGAGGTACTACGATACGAGGGTTGTCCTCAATATCCGTGCGATAGCACAACAGGCCATTATCGATGGAATATCGATGTAGCCTCGCACGTAAACGTGCCGACAATTCTATGTCCGAGTCTTTAAACTCATCGCTCCCAAGAGCACGTAGCAAAGCTACACAATGATCGTCCTTGGCATATGCCGCACGAATTAAGTCAGGGACTGACGACGACAGGGTCGTAACATGAGCAAGCTCATAGTCAGGTCGACGCGATAGCGCATCAGCCAAAGCGTTTTGCTTACCTGGCTTGTACTTTACCTCGAAGTTATATTCGGCAAAGAATGAAAGCCAACGAGCCATTCTCTTTGAAAGATGAGGCGACTGTGTCGCAGTGCGCAATGACGCATGATCGGTATAGATCAAAAATGGCTTCGAGCCAAGCAGATGGACTCTGAATTTGACAAGAGCGTACTTCATAGCAAGTAGCTCTTTGTCATGAACAGGATAGTTCTTTCAGCAGCTTTCAGCTGTCGAGATTCAAATGCGATGACGCGTTCGCGTTCGCCGACATCTGTTTGTAACAGAGCACTGCCTATGGCAAAGTCAGATGCGTCACAGACGACACTGAAAGGCCAACCAGAATCGGGCAAAGCCAATATTGGCGCATGAAGGAGACTCTCCTTAACTGCTTCAAAAGCATTATGTTCGGTGTTACCCCAACACCAACCCACATCCTTTTTAAGGAGATTGGACAATGGCCGAGCCATATCTGCGTAATTTGCACTGTACTTATGTAAGTAATTGGCAAGGCCAAGCCACTTACGCAAGTCCTTTTGGTTCTTGGGGACTGGCCAATCGACTATGGCTTTTACCTTAGCGGGATCCGCTCGAAGGCCTCGCTTCCCAATGAAGCACCCTAGAAAGGGAATCTCTTCTGCACCAAAGATGCACTTCGATGCGTTCGCATACAGCTTATTCATCCGCATACACCCGAGCACCGCTCGTAAATGATCGATGTGATTGTCCACATCTGATCGCCCATTCATTGCACGACTATGGACAAAAATGTCATCAAAGTACGTTTGTGCATAGCCTCGATGAGGTCTGAATAGTTGCGTTACCAACCGGTTAAATGTAGCCGGGGCGTTAGATAGCCCTTGTGGCATAACGAGCCACTCCCAAAGCATACCGCTCGGATTACTCACCGCTGTTAGCGGAATATCGCTTGCTCGCATGAGCAGTTGGTAATAACCATCGACTAAGTCGAGTGCACTGTACAGTGTACATCCCGCCATATTGTTCTGAAGAACATCCTTTCTAGGACTAGGCGTCTGCGCCGATATAGTGGCTGCATTAAGCTTATTGTAAGCATGCACAATACGCCACTTGCCATTTGGCTTTCTGACACAAAATGTCGGTGTTGAATGGGGAGATTTACTCTCACGAACCATTCCAGCCGCGTGCTTAGCACGAAAGAAATCGTCAATGACGTCGCACTGTTCTTTAGGCAAAGGCCACTGCCGTGTTACACAGTATTTAGTTCCAGGAACCAAGTCAATCTCATGACGTACACCTCTATCGGGAGGTAAGGCAGAAGGTGGGTTGTGACACACCACATCTTGAAATTCCTTAACTACAGGAAAGAACGGATCCAAAGGATCTTTAAGGATCGAAGATCCACTTCGTGCACTAAGTGCCGCCTTTGTATCCTCTAGGACAGACTCATCCATTAACGAGGAAGAATTTAAGTCAGTATCAGGTCTAATGATTGCTAACTCGGATAACTCTCCTGCCTTCAAGGCCTGGCTAAACTCGCCATCAGACATTTCGTCTAGCTCACACAGAGCGTCCACAGATGGAAGGGTTTCGAGGCTCACATTGCCATTAACCTGACCAGTCACTCCATTAACAAGTGTATATAGTGTATTGCTAATCTCACTATGTGACTGTGAGGACGCCTGGCGCTTTACAGCTGCTACTCGGCGTCTCGATTGTCTCTTCGAGACCTTACACCCCTTAGGGGTCGGGACAATATTGTCCCCATGGTTACTACCAACCATAGTACGCTCTATACGAGAGCTTTTGTCTTGACCGACATTAGGTGTGGTGCCCTCACGGCCGTCCACACTATACGGAGTATCGCCAACAGTATCATTACTGACATTAGGTGTGGTGCCCTCACGGCCGCCCACACTATACGGCGTATCGCCAACAACGCCATTACCGGCGTTAAGCGTGGTGCCCTCACGGCCGTCCACACTATACGGAGTATCGCCAACAATATCATTATTGACATTAGGTGTGGTGCCCTCACGGCCGCCCACACTATATGGCGAATCGCCAACAACGCCATTACCGACGTTAAGCGTGGTGTCTTCACGGCCGCCCACACTAAATGGCGTATCGCCAATAATGTCATTACCGACATTCAGTGCGGTGCTCTCACGGCCGACCGCACTCGGTGTAGTTTCACGTGCCACCATACACACATCAAAGGAATCACATCCTTGATCACTCGGCCCTAGGCCAACCATGCTTTCAGCATGCAGTGACTCGTTATCACAACGAGTAACACTCAACGGAGTACGTGCCGTTTCACTAGACGAGCTAAGCTCGAAACTTATGTTTGTAACATTGGAGTTAGATAACTCAGACATTCCAATATCCAGCACATTGACATCTTCTGTCAAAGGCTTGCGCCAATAGCGCTTCTGCTGCCTAGCAAAGGTGGGTTCATGACTCTCCAAAGCTTCGCTAGGAACATTGCGCGTAGCGCCTAAGGTCTTAGACCTCCAATCAATCTATGGCTCATGGCGCTCAAGCCAAGCCATACCTAGGATGAGATCATATCTCGAGTCCAAATCTAGGACAAGACAGCGCTCAATACTGTCAAAGTCTAAAAACTTTATACCTAAGTTCAATGGAACTTTAGGCACCGTTACGCGACTTCCAGTCGCTAAACGAACCGTGATAGAATCACCCTCATGCGCTGTAAGCGCCTCAGCATAACGCTGACTTCCCTCAAGGGAACGGCGTCGAGCATAATTGCAAGACGCTCCAGAATCGATCAATATCGACCAAGGCTTCTCGAAGCCCTTAATTTTCGCCTCGGCGACCAACAAGCCAGACTTGTATCCACGCACCATACCCGTAGGTATGGTACTCTTTGGGGCTAAGCCCTGCATTCCTTTACCTTCTAAAGGTGTAACAGAACATAGTTCTTCCCCAGTAGGGCGCCCCGCGCCTACTGGGTGTCGGCATTTCCCCGTGCCATGCCAGACTTCTGACTCGGGCTCGAGTGTTGGCTCGTAGTCTGGCGCTGCTTACGCAAAGGGCAACCAGGCCACAAGTGTTTAGTGCTTCCGCACGTAAAGCATCGTCTTACAACGTGTTTCTGCTCAGCAGCTTGAAGCTCAGCTTCACCTCCATCTTCAGCATAGCTGAGATCCATCGGTTCCGGCCTATTATAGGCAGTGGTACCCGAATAGTTTGCTCTCACAGAGCGAGGATTGTATCCGTTCCAACCAAGTCTGGCCGACTTGAAGTTATGCTCAGCATTAAGAGCAATTCTCACAGCCTCTTTAAACGTAGAGGGGTGAACCCGAAAAACTTCGGTTCTGGCAATGCCAGTACGTAGACCTTCCATGAAGATAGTCACATGGACTGCTTCAGGCAAAGGGTCAGACTGCATTGCAGCCATGAGCGTTCGCAGCTCTTGGACATAGTCCGATAATTCATTCTTACCCTGGCGGGTAGAAAGAAAGCGTGAGCGCACGCGGTAAGCCTGGTTAGGTGGAGAAAACACCTGTACCAATTGTAACTTGAGCGACTCCCATGTGGGAAACGCTATGTCCACCGACGTGCTACACGTCAAGGCCCATTCTCTAGCTCTACCATCAAGCTTCGAGATAGCCAGCGAGACCTGTTGATGGTCAAGCGTGATCAGGCCTGATCTCATGGCCATCTCGATCTCACGGATCCAGAGGATGAGGTTCTCGCCCTCCTTACCGGAGTAGTTTTTTTACTTCCACTCTAAGTGGACGAGGCTTAGCCTCTTCGTCTGGTACAGACACGTAGCGTGTAGGCATAGCCGACGCTATTTGGTCTTGGACCTGCCCTAAAAGGGTCGCTTCATACTGCATGAAGCTTTCAACACGTGCATCAAGCACTTCAGGACCTTGTGAAACAAGGAACTCCACGTACTCTGGACCCAAAGATGCGGTCAGCTTATCAAGCGCGACCTTTTGGGCCTCAGATAGGGGAGTGATGTTTTCCATCCCCACAGAGGATCAGTCTTAAAAACTCAGGCGTAGATTGACTACAAGTGCTACCAAGTGTAGCGGAGCTACACAGCTCCTTAAGTCAGAGGAAGACTTAACGCTCTACGAGCAACTTAGTTCTAAAGAACTAACGACTTTACGAGTCAACAAGCTTTATAGCTTCAGATCCTTGTTCCAGGGGACCTAACGATTCAGTGAATCGACAGCACTTAGTGCTCAAGAGTAGCTACCTCAAGGAGGTGTCGCTAACTCTTAGTGATCAGAGATCAACGATCAAGACGGCTCGCAAGCCACGTGTCTTTCAGATCAAAATGGGAACTGATTTTATTTTTGTTAAAGCCTATAGAATATCTTAATCCTACTCAAAGATCTTTCGTATCTAATGGCTGACACTCGTCAGCCCCTACAAATCGATAAGATATTCTATATCACCTTCACAGAAGCGAACCCTCAGGTGTGTAACACCTCTGGTACAAAGTACCATGATTTCGTGCAACCCCGTTACATACATGTTGCGGGATCGCGGCTGTGCACGTACACGACAATACGATTGGAGCATGCAAAGGCACACCTACTTGCAAACCCGTCTGCCAAAGAGAGCTCGAGGAAAGCATCGAGAGGGGGTTCCAACAGGTAGCTGGAATCGGAACACATGTTTGTGCGTGATGAGCCACTCAAAATCATAGTTTTCCGGCTGTGCCGGCAGAGCGACTTTAAAATCATCGCGCTTACAAAACTGCTTTTATGAACTGCATGCGATCTAGAAGTCGACCATTCGTTTGAAAAGTAATCGAAAAACGACGCCGGCAAGTTGACAAGCTCATAGTTTTGCTGCTGGAATACTGGAGTACTCCGGATACGGTTGGCGACGAATTTCCTGAACATTGGACCGGCGTAGTGTTAGTCAATCTTGAGTTCTAAGGCGAAAATGATCTGTCTTCAGGGAGCCCCCTCTGGTGCAGTGGGTAGAGCACCAAACAGTTGATCTATCGAGAGCGCAGTTCTATCCTTTAGAATCCCGTTTTACCGACAGTAGTCTCCCCGTTATTTCCTACCCTGGCACCATTTAAGACCCTCGGTATCTTCGAGGACCGATTGGCTGGTCAAAGTCACCAGCCAAGCCGTTAGAGAGCTAATCAGAATCTCAGCTCGAAGAAAAGGGACTGCCATCAGCGACCCTTGCTGACCCATAGCAGGTTTGGGGCCGTGTAATAGACTCCTTGTTGTACAAGCCTTCCGCATTTTGGATAATTTTGGATCTGTCGTTGATTTGAGGTACCTGACCAACCAACACGTCTGGCTTCGAACTGGAAGGTATATCTGCTGGTTCACGTACCGTACAGAAACGATTTGGCATACATGTGTGTGACGCATGTTGCAATGTAAGATAGTCACATTTAGAATGAGAAAATCTACTTACGCTTAGTTGATTTGATCTTTGTTCACGTGACTATCATACTGTACTTTTTACAGTGTGCCAGCACCATTTTGCGTGGACCTCTGAACTTCTTGTTGAGATTTCTCGCTCCAAGAAAAATGTTACGGCATAAACCCTCATATTACATTTGACCGTCTCGGATGCGGGCGTGGATGATCCCACAAACTTGTGGCGGTTGCTGTTCGCCGGGTCTTGTCGATACGTCTCAGCAGAAATAGAAAGTGCGGGTCGTCTGCAACAAAAAGAGCGGTGGGTGCCTGTCAGAATCGGGATAAGATGATCCATCTCCAGTACATGTACATGGCAAGGGCGGAGGTTTGCGACACGAAGTTGAGCGTCATAGTCTGCGGTACCACATCGTTGCCCGCAAATGTCATCCCTGTTGAAACATTTGAAGAAGGGGTAGAGGGACGCGTCGGTCGAGCGTGCTTCTATAGCGCCTTAGGTAAACAACTGCGAGCGTATGTGGCGCTGTTGAGAACACAAACTCTTTTTTACTCAGTCATAGTACCGGGCCGACGCACGGCAGCTATGTTGTTACCACACGTGTCATCTGACCGCTCAACTTTTCGATCGACGATGTAAACAATGTGCTGCATCAATCAAAGCAAAAGTGTGGGATCTTTTGCCTTGAACAAACATACAACATCTCGTCTGTGTCGTTTATCTTTTCTTGTCGGTATCGATTGCATATGCTCCCAGCTTCGTCAATGATGTCCATGTTACACGAAGACGTACAGGCTAACCATACCACGCATGTTGCTTCTATGTGAAGGAAAGAAGCTACAAGGCTTGGCCAGCTACAGCACGTTTTTCGCTTTCAATATCGCGTCATGTACATTTTGAACTAGGTTTACTTCGATCACATCGATACTAGAAGCAAAGACTAGAGCAGTTCGTTAGCAGCACTTCGAGAAAACGGTATCCATAAGAAACGCACGTTCGTCTCACAGATATTTACTCTCGAAACATGTCATGAGCATGAAGATCAGGGGCTTCCGCTCAACAGTTCGCAGTCTTCAATTGGGCGCTTGCAGGACATATCAACGACGCGGTCGAGACGGTAATATAAAAAGGGTGATTTGTCATAGGACCTTTAGGCTGTCTTGTCTTTAGGCTGGTTTGCTATCAATTCACACAGGTACTTAAAAATGCGATCTTCATGAGCAGCTTGTGGGGCACAACATCTGCTTTTTGGCTTAAAAATGACCGATTTCGCACAACATCTGCTTTTTGGCTTAAAAATGACCGATTTCGCACAGCATCTACTTTTTGTCTTAAAAATGACCGAATTTGTAACAAATACGATGCGACTGACTCTATTGTCAATTGTCAAGCATCGTCCTGCGCAACACATACGTAGTCACAACAGTGGCAGCCATGACGACAATGTTCAAAGGTCATGACTACGACCGTGTCGTACGTGTTCGATGATGAGAGTTTCATAGATCCTTTAGCTTTCAAAGCCGCCGATCGCGTGTCCTTGTTCACTTGTCCAACTATTTTCGCAGCGTATGTGGCCAGCAAGGAGTCACCTGCGGCGCTAGCAAGTCAGCTCATTGGTGCACTAGCCCAGCATCTGTCTACCCAAGCATCTGCTTGGCTCGAACAGAGCAGGGCGCAAGGTGCTCTGATCCTGCGCAGTAACGCACGGCCATCGTCAGCACGCTGTCAACGCAGACGGTCCAGCTAAAAATAGGGCTCGTGTGCTGGCGTCAACGGATATTCCTGAATCCGCTTCACGCAACTGAACCGACTCGATAATTTGGTTTCACAGGTTTCCAATCGCCTAAAAGTCGGGCCATCACTTGCTACAGGTTCTCCCTGGGCGCACCAGACGTCCTACAACAAGACACGCTGCTTCCCATCTCCTTCCTCCTCCGTCTCCTTCTTCCTCCGCTGTTGCCACTGCCGCCGCCTCCTCGTGCACTTTGTATCGGCAGCCGAACGCACGCGCGCTTCTCGTTGCGTAGCCCACGTCTCGTCTCGCTTCCTAGGGCAGCAGCAGCGTCGTCCGCAACAAGCAAGAAAGGTGCTGCATTCGAGGGTCTCTGCTCTGTTGTTAATCTGCATCCCTTGGTCGTGGCCTCAGTTCGTCTAATCTGATCATATTGTTGTTATCATCGTTGATTTCGTTCCTGCTCTTGTCCTTTGAATATTGAATTCTACAGTTTCCAGAAGCACTTTCACCGACCACTGTGGACCTCTTTGTTTTCGGGCTACTTAGTGACAGTTGTGGCATCGGTTCCGCGCCTGCATGGGATGCCTGGAGCTGAAGACGACCTGAGAATACCGACTGCTAAAGACCACTGTTTTGTAACACCGCGATTCACAAAGAATTCCGCTATATCCGGCCCGAGCAGCGTCGCTAGTGCTAAAAGCTATCAATCGAGTGAACTGGGAGTGGACGCCGACTTTTTTGGTGTTGAGTGTACGGACAGTGACATTCTTGAGGGTTTGAACGACGGGGAGATGACGATCATGAACGACGACGATGCCGATCTGAGCGAAGAAGAAGAGGAAGTCATGGAAAACTCGATTGATTTTTCGGTCAATCGAGCCACCGTGACACGTGCGGGAGTTATTCCGTGCTGCGTGTTTGTGGGCAGGGTGCGGTGGGACACCACGGACTGGGAGATTTATTTTGGACAGAAACAGCTACTGCGACTGCATCTGCACTTACATCTTCATTGTATCCTCCACCATCGTAAACTCATGCAGGGCGTGCATCTGCCATGGACGATCTGGCGTGAAAAGCGGGCTGAAAAACGTGTGGAAGACGTGTATGTGGTACAGGACTATATTCGAGATCTGCTGAAGGACAGGGACTTGCGTAATTCCGAACCGTTGTTATCGTTCTTGGAGGTAAGTCCGTCGCGGGCGATGTTGCGGCTAGGACCTTCGCTCAAGGAAGGGTATGTGCACATGCGCATTAATGGACCGTTTCAGCTACCGCTGTACACTTGCTTTAATCGCACTATTGAGGCGTTGTACCGGCATTTGTACCGTGCTTGGATGCGTATTGCTTTCGTGTCAGCTATCGTGGGTTTTATTTTTCCAGTCTGCCTTGTGATTCTGACGAGTCTTCCGACGTTCTTTTCTCCTCAGAAGGAGCTGGTGAATTCAGACTCGGGTACTAAGGAAGTGTCAACAAAATTGAACACGGCTGGAGTTTTCTTGGGCCTAGCTGTCTTAGCAGGCATCATCTTTTTTGCCGGGTTCGTTTACAAGTTTTTCCAGCACCGCCTTGGTGTTATCCGACGATGGGTTGTCCTGAAACCGTCGTGCTTTGCCGCGTACCGAAATCGTAATGACCAAGAGCCAAGCGAGGTATTTTTGTTCGACAAGACATTTACGGCAAGAAAAGGAAGCTACAGGCAAGGAGTGAGCTGGATGCCAAGTGGTTTGGTCGTTGGCAGTCAAGCCGGTGATATTGAAATTGATACAGGGCATTACTATACTCGGCTAACAGCTTTTATCGCTCTGATGGGAGTTTGCTATGGCATCATGCGTCTGTCAAATAACATTTATGACTTTGAAGACCTTACTCTGAATAAGAGGTTCGGTGTGCCAATTGCAAACGCTTGGGGATACGAAAACTGGACTGAGAGCAGCGATATTAAATACTGCGGCTATTACTTCACGGTACCCGAAGACGTCACGGTCTACGTCGAGAGTAATAGTAAAGGTGCTGTTATTTCGCAACTCCAGATGCCGTCCTCCAATTCGATGACCGCGAACCTTGGCTATTTCTGGCAAAGTGACAGCATGGGCTACAGTCTGAATGTGATCACGAACGCAGTTGGAGCCGGCACGATGGTGAGTGTGGTGAAGCCGATTGATGTGGCCAATGATCGTTTTTTCGAATCGGGCTTGAACTTCACGCTGGGAAGCGTTGGAAACTTGATGCTGGAGGGTGTTGGCACTGACCTTGATGTGCAACAATTCAGCAATGTCGACAGTTTGTGTGCGATATCCGTGCGCGTTTCGCCTCTCACGTGGCGGACGTACATCTACTACCTGCTTTTCCTGTTTGCAGGCGGTATTATCGCACCAGTGGTTGGTTTCCTGGCTAACTATTTCGTGACGTACCTTGGTTTATGGCACCCTCATGTGCGTAGAGACCATTGGTATCGATGTGTGTGTCGTCTTCAGAAGCTCAAGCGTCAGGAGTCTTCTACGCGGTTCGACTCGTTTGCCCCACAGCACATAAGCGCTTTGGGTGACAACGATGACGCCGTCATCAGTGCGAAAGCGAAGACCGCAAACTTGCCTTTTCGAAGCACTCCTACTAGTGCAATTAACCAAGTGGTAGATTCTGTGTCGAAATTGGACTCAGAAAGTGCCATTCGTATGGGCAATGGGAATTTAGTAACTTCGTCCGCGCGTGTGGACAGCAGCACACAGTCTGAGGAAATGCTTGAGGCCCCACCTCCGAGCCCTAGCGCTGTCAGCTGGCATGTGGATGCAGAAGACACGTACGAGGCGATGTTCAAAGCAATCACTGGCGCCAAATATGAGATTCTGATTGCTGGATGGTGGGTGTGTCCGGACCTGTTCTTGCTTCGTCCAGGCCGAAAGTTACATCCACGTGACCCTGACGAAGATCCTGATGAGCAGCAAGTGAACAAGACGATGCTGCGCCAGCTACTGATGAAAAAAGCTGAGGCTGGTGTCAAGATCTACGTGCTTATTTATCGTGAAGTGAAGCTGGCGCTCACACTCAACAGCGCATATACAAAGCGCAGTCTGATGGTGCACCCTAATATTCGGGTTTTGCGTGATCCGATCTTCCAGATACAAAGTTTAGGGTTCTGGTCGCATCATGAGAAGATCGTTTGTATTGACCAGTCTTTGGCGTTCGCGGGTGGACTAGATCTGTGTTTCGGTCGATACGACCACAGTGGACACCCGATCAGTGACCCTGGCAACGATCCTGTGTGGCGAGGCAAGGACTACTCGAATCCGATCATCAAGGATTTTGTCCGGGTAAACAAGCCGTTTGAAGATCTTATTGATCGGTACTCACAACCGCGAATGCCTTGGCATGACGTACACTGCAGTATTTCTGGTCCACCGGTGCAGGATGTAGCCTTCCACTTCATCCAGCGCTGGAACTTTGTGTGTTCTAAAAACGACTATCAGCTTCGAACAGGTTGGTGCATATGCTTTCGTTCGCGGCGGTTTAAATTCCTGCCGAAGTGCCTCGTGCCAATGGATTTCAATGGATGGACATTGCAGTACCCGTCGTCAGATCCGGAAGCGCTGCGGGATGGATCCACTCGGTCAACCATTCCTGTCGTTCGTGAGGACTCATTGACTATGGAGCCGTTTCAAGTTGTGCAGTCGGTGAACCCCATGTATCCGTGCACGGCGTCGGGTCCACACTGGCCGCCGACCACTTCATTGCATCCATTAAATCCGATGCGGCCTCCCTTTACGAGCCTATCAACGGCCACGGGTCAACTGGACGATGGAGAAGTGCTGCGAGCTCAGCGTGGCGAGTCAATACTTCAAGTGTTTCACCCGAACGCTAGTATTTGCAACGTCCAGGTGTGCCGCTCAGTATCCATGTGGTCAGCTGGCGTGCCGACGGAGGCTAGTATCCAGGCTGCTTACATAGACATGATTGCGAAGTCGAAGCACTACTTGTACATTGAGAACCAGTTCTTTATTTCAGGAATGGATGGCAACGGAATCGTTCGTAATCGGATCCTGCAAGCATTGGTGGATCGTATCGAGCGTGCCGTGCTACGTGACGAGAAATTTCGGGTATATGTGGTGATGCCGCTTCTTCCAGCATTTGAGGGTAATGTGCGCAGCCACGAACTCACCAATCTTCACGCAGTTATGCACTGGCAGTTTGCGACCATTTGCCGTGGTCGCTACAGTCTTTTCGAGGCGCTAACTAGTGTGACTAATCATCCCGAGAACTACGTGGCTTTTTTCGGATTGCGAAAGTATGGCATCATGCCGAACGGATGTGTGTCAACTGAGCAGATCTACATTCACAGCAAGCTCATGATCGCCGATGATCGATGTGCTATTATCGGTAGCGCTAATATCAACGACCGCAGTATGAACGGCGATCGTGATTCAGAAATTGCTCTTGTGATTGAGGATATGCAATACGAGGACGGTCTGATGAACGAGAAACCATACCGCCGAGGGGTTACGGCCAGTAAGCTTCGGCTACAGCTATTCCGTGAGCACCTCGGCCTGTCGGACGATGACGATTGTGTCTCCGATCCAGTATCTGATCGCACATGGCAATCTATCAAAGCAACCGCCTCGAACAACACTAAGATTTTCGAGGCTGTCTTTGATTGTGCGCCTTCCAACCGCATGCGCGCATTTGTGAATTTCCAGAGTATTGAAGTGACGCAGATCTTTGAAAATCAACGTATGAATGTGCTGACAGTACCGGGGCGATCGCACTTGTGGAACGCCAACAATCTGAAGGAGGGGGACTATGCACCTTGGACAGACGTCAATGGTGTGCCCATTGCGGCAGACCGCGTGGATCTGAGCGACTTCGAGGTGGACAACTACAGGGACCGAAAGAAGAAGCTGTTTTCAATGGACCACGATGGCTGGTGCTACGCGCGTAACTTCTCCGTTTTCCAGGAGGTTCGCACGATGAAGACCGACTACAAGAAACGTGAAAAGCTGCAGCATCTTGTAGCCGATAGGCTGATGGCTCAAGTACGACGGCGTCGGTGGGTCAAGAAGGGTTTGCTACCATCGCGTCCTGACCCTCGCGACAGTTCTTTCAGCCTCGCTAGTGATGAAGAGGAACACGGGCGGTTTCACTCCATTTGGCGAAGACTTCAGCAAGGTGATTTCAGTCGCTCGAACTCTGTTAGTATGACCCCAACGAATCGCAGTCAACTGGACTCCGGAAGTGGAAGAGCTGATAGCTCGACTCCCGAAGGCGCGACTCGTGGTCGCCAGCTATACAACTCGTCGTCCATGCCGTCGGACGGTTCGGCGCTGGTAGTAGATACTACTACTACTACGTCGTCGCGGCCTGCCGTGCTTGGTGATACTACATCGTTTCCAAATACTCCAAGCTCCCAGCACGCACCTCGAAGCCCATTTGTGAGCGCGCTCGCAAGCAGACCCCGCGGTGTGCGCAGCGCACGCACGTCACCTGTTCGAAGTGCTGGAGCTCAACTTTGTGGCAATACTCGAAGCGCACGCAGCAGCTTTCACGGCCTGTTTAGTGTCGGTGGTAATCGACAGCCCGGTACCGATGACGAGTCCAGTGAGGCAGGCAGCGAGTATGGAGGAGCCCACAGCATCCGTGCGTCACTTAGGCGATGGTATTCTACGATGGACGTGTTGGATTTCGGCCGTCGCTCGAAGTTTAACGCTGAGTACTTCGACACAGGTGAGGATAATGTGGACGGCGACGATCCGCTACTGGAGGTTGGTCGGTCAAGCTACCACGCAGCTACTCGCGAAGGTCTTTTGACCGAAGAAGAGGGCGAAGAAGATGAAGACGAAGATGCCGATTGCCAGATAAGTCACGTGCAGACAGCCGCCACGGTCCGCAAGGAGGACGAGACGCGAGCTCGTGGTCAGTTGTCGGAGATCCGCGGCCATCTTGTGGAATTCCCGCTGGACTTTTTGGTCGAAGAGATCCTCAAGCCGTCGGTCCTGCCTGCCGACATTCATATTTAAGCGAGTGGTGAGGCGCTGAGTCGGTACGATGCTCGACTGCACTAAAAAGGGGTGAGTGGGAGGTGCCGAGCAAAGCACTAAGGAGAGCCAGAGCGTACGCTAGATGCGAAATTAATTTGAGGTTGTGTTTTCCGAAGGTGGCGTGCCCGATCCAGGTTGCCACATCTGCTTGTGATGTTTGTGTTTGAAGCTGTTGGGACTGAAGCGTTGTTGGGTTTGCTGGACGTGGATACGAAGGCTCAAGCGCCAGTCGATGAGTATGTGGTGGTGGCTGGACGCGTGCAGAGTTCTCGACAGCTCACGTGTCTAGGTGGACGCGTCAAGCATGACGGCAAGCGTCGACTGCTGGTCGTTCCGTTAGCTCCAGCTCGTGATTCGGAGGCAGCCCATGGCTCGTGTGTGCAAGTGCTGGATGTGGGAGGCGTAGCCGCGACCTTTTTGCAAGGGGTGCGAGCTTGCTTCCCTACACTTGTGCGGAAGAACCTCATGGCGGATGTCGACAGCGACTCGGAAGAAGAAGAGGCTCTAAAGAAGAAGCACGAGGAAGAGGGGACTGCTGATTCAGAAGCTGCAAAGGATCAGCAATCGAACGAAGAGGTCGTCCTGAAGGACATGGATCGGATCCGAGTCCAGACGGTCATGACATTCGACGAGCTCGTGAGCGCGTTCCCAATTGCTGACCCTGTCGACGTACGCACGTCGCTGCTGAACGATCCGTCCGTGCCGAAGCACTATCAGTTGCTATGTATCGACTGTCCAGCTGTCAGCGCTGCAGACAATGCGACGCACGAGGGTGCGTCGCACACGTTCTCGTCACCCGCAACTCCTTCCTCCGAACCGTTCGACTTTGGCGTGCTGTTCCTCTCGGAGATGGCACCACCACGAAGCGAGAGTTCCGAGCAGTTGTTTCTGCAGATTCCAGTGCCTCGTTCCCCACTACGCTCGACTTCCGCAGTGCACGAGAGTTTTCAAGACGCCACTGTGCTGACGTTCGGTACCAAGCGCGAGGAGAGTGTCCATGGCGGTGGCAAGACCTGCGAAGAAATGCTCTGGAACATTCGGATGCGTCATGCGTCCGGCACGTTCTGCACGCTCGTTGTCCCGACCACGACGTGGGAGCAAGTGGTCCATGCCAACAAGTCGGTTCTACCTCAAGTGTGCGAGCTCCAGGGCGAGTTACGTCTCCGTCGCTTGGTAGGTACCGCTCCCCGTGGCGAACCCGTGAAGCTATTGCTTGATTGCTAGGCACCCTATCACGGCTGACAAGGCGACAGAGGACAAGAAGAGGTAAGGGATCAACAACAAGCAGCAGGTGAGTCGCACGCTGGGGTGACTCCTCCTTCGTTCACGCGTCTACCAAGTCTCGAGCGCCAACGCTCTCTAGGCATGCGAAGAACCAGTGAGACACATCCAGTAGTCATTCTCCTTGAGCACTTTTGCGTCCGCGTTGTTCGTCGCTCGTGGCGTCGTCGCCCCCCACGGATTCTTCTCGGGTCTCCAGAGCCACTCGCCCAGCTTCATCTCGTCCAGCACGTCCTCATCGTCTCCAGCTTCGTCGGCATTGTACGACGTCACGAGCAGCGGCACTTGCACGTCCTTTAGCACCAATTGAATGGCTGGCAGCCACTCGTTGTAGCCCCAGATTCCCGCATTGAAACACACGACGAGATCTGGTTTCCAGACCTGTGCCTTGTCTTGGAAAGAGGCCTCAAAGCTCCCGACAAAGTAGCGGATCCTCACGTCGCACGTCGTGGCTTCTCCATTGTCAGATACTGGGACCGAACACTGTTGGGTGAACTCGTCGAGATGCAGCGTCCTGGACACGTTGGGCCCCACTAGCACGAGCTGGAGCGACGTCAGACGCGTCCGAGCTGCTACGTGTTCCGTGAACGCTCTGAAGACCTCGAAGGTTGCGGCTCCACTATTGCCCTCACGGTGATCAGCACCGAGGACGTGGATCGTTAAGGACTTTGTCTCGGGGTACGTAATGGTAGCGGCGTGGGCGTGCTCAAGGCGATGGAGCCACGCTACGAGCGTCTCGGCACGCGTGTCAGCAGGGGTCATGCTCCCTGTTTTTATCTATGATTATGTCTCTCAGAGCTCTACTACTGGACTTGGACGAGGATGGAGTGCGGTCGGTCAACCTCCTTTTGGATGTGGTTTGGCCACGGATATTCCTCCTCCGCGACTATCGAGGCGGATGTCGTTTTGAAATGAAAAAAATGCACTGTGTGATCTTTCAAGCCTTTTTCATGGATGGGATAAGGTTGGATACACTACGATTGTTTGGATGTACGATGGTAAGAAGCACACGACGAACGGTGTTGACGGCTTCTTGGTAAGTCGGTTCAGTAGTGGTTGTTGTTGAATGCTAAGTTTGTTCGTTTGCGGTGAGTTCCAGGAAAAGTGTCGATTTAAATATATTTCAAATCGCTTTTAATTTGTGGACTTTCAGCTGTAAATTAATTGATATCGCAAACATTGCAAAAACGGGCTTTACCTAATATCCACACCAGTAAGGCTTGCTTCATTAGCTTACGGAACTTCTAGATCAAGTAACTCAAATACACCTTCACTTCGCATCATTGCCGATGATACCAACATGGTGATTTAAGTCTCCACTCCATCAAAGTCTTCGTCGGTTGAAACGTCCTATCGTGGGGTGTGCATTGGGTTTCATGAGGTAAGCAAAAAAAGTAGAGATTGTCTAGTTTTTCCCTGTGCTCGTCACGCCACGTAGCTAGCGATCAGTGGTACATATCACTGTGCAGTTCGAAAGCACAACAAATCGATCAACTTGAGCTATCTTTTACACGGTTGATGGCCACAGAATCTTCCAGTAAGGCGTCAATCTACGCATGCGGTATATACTTGCATGTGCGCGTACACCTACGTGTACGACACACAACTTGTCTCGGAACTTCATCGCAGGAACGAATCAACAGTCTTTGTAAACAAAGACCAAACCTCAAAGTGTTAGCATAGCCGTGACGTTTAGTTTCGACTGCGGACCCAGAACCGCGCGAAAAGGGAAGTATCAAGTGGTAACACTAACTGTACATACTGCTTTGGCCATATCTATGCACATTCACTGCAGTGTAATGGCCCAACTGCCTCGATATTGGTCGCTCGTAGCTCACGCCTGTTCTGCAAATTGTGCTGAATAGTCGATGGAATGCTGCTTGTACTTAATTGCAGACATATCTGGTCAAAGGAAAAACAGACACGTACCGAAGTCACACATTGTGACTCCGTGGTGTTCTAGACGCGAACCTAAAGACTCAGGACGAAGACAAACGGACATCGTTCCATGTGTCTGCGTCTACTCGATTATCAATTGGATCACATCACCACACGATTTTGACCACAAAGGAGACGATGGCGTTCATTTGATTCGCTCCTGACGTCAAGCGCGACAAAAGTGTCGGATAAGTACGTGTCAGAAACAACACTGTCAATATACGTATACAAACAGCAGTGGAACGACACATCTATTTTTAAAAAGCAGACAAATGCCTCGTCACATTTTGCTCGTAGCCAGCAATTGGACACACATATCTCAGTGTCCACCGTGACTCCCATCGAGCTCAAGCGCGATCATGACGCCAAAGTCGACGTGGATGGACACCACTAACCACCCGCACCGTTATCTACTTGTGGCATTTGCCATCTTCCAGTGCTTTTTGGGCTCCGGTGTTATCTTTGGCTGGTACGGACAACGCAATGTCTTTTTTTCGATAGTGTGTGGTGTAACGAAATCCTGGTGACTTTTTACATATTGGGCTGGGGGTGCACGTACGTGATTGGGTCTGCAGGACGTCCCTCGTGCCAATGCTGGAAACAGAGCGGATCTACAGCGAGTTGTGTGCGAGTGGCGAGACGAGTACGTGCCTCAGTTGCTTGATCCGGAGATCTGGAGATATTCAAATGGTGGAAACCGACTGGTCCTTGTGCACTAGTTTGCAAAGAGCAGAGCGACCGTCTACAGTACGCGTTCACAATGGCAGTGGCCAGCAGCATGTGGTCGAATCTGCCCCTTGGTCTCGTGTTGGATAAGTAAGGACGATTGAGCACTGCATCAATTGATGTTGTCGTGCTGATGGTAAACTTGTGGAATACTCGCAGGTTCGGACCTCGAGCGACCAAGTCGATGTCGTTTTTGCTGTTGATTGTCGGTGTTTTGATAATGGGCAACGCACGCGTCCGGTGCGTTATACGCTGTATGGTCGTTCTCGTGTTGAATCAGTCCAGCTCCGTTTCTTGACATGTTGGTCGATGCACGTCTTGTTCGTCAGGGTACACGCTGATGAGCATGATCTGCTTTTGTATGGAATGATGCTGGTGGGGTTCTCGGGTCCTGGTATCCAGCTCTCTGCGATCCACGTGTCCAATCTGTTTCCCGAAGCAACGGCAATCGTTGCGTGTTTCATCGTTGGAGGTCTTCAGTTTAGCTTCTTCATCTTCACGCTGTTGGATCTCGCGTACACGCACCTTGGCAAGTCGATGACCACGGTTTTTGAGATCTACGCATGTGTGTTGTTCCTCGCACTTGTCGGCACTCTGATGACAGAGCCCGATGTACCGTTCGAGGCTACCGCCAATGCCGAACACAAGCTGTTCTCCCCCATGCGTCTACCGCATGCCTTCAAGGAAGACGAGGCATCGCTGCTGCTGTCCACGCCCGAGTTGGAAGAGTATCGCAAGCACCATCACTTGCCGACTCACGAGATCTTTTGTGACGGGAACCTGCGTAATCGCTCGTTCCGGACGCAGGTGCTATCCAGGCCGTTCCTGCTCATTGTGTTCTACTTTTCCGTTCATTGTTTATGGTGTAACGTCTTCCTCGGCGGCATCACAGGGTTGTTGCGATGGAAGGGGTTTGCTGAGGCCAAGATCGAGAGTCTGCTGGCCAAATTGGCCTTCGTGTTGCCCGGCAGCGTCGTCTTCATCCCAATAGTTGGGTACATCCTCGACAAGTGCGGGTACACGTACTCGTCATTGATCTGCACGGCAGCAGCGCTGTCCTTCACATTGATGCTGAGCAGCCTGTCAACCGGGTGGATCCTAGCGGGGTTTGTGACCTACGCGTTCTTCCGAACCACCCTGTTCCCGCTTCTGTTTGCGTACTTGGGGCATCGCTTCGGTTTCCAGCACTACGGGGCACTGTCGGGCATTACGTTTTGCATTGGTGGCATCGTGGGACTCTTGCAGACGCCGATTGCAGCGATCGGAGACTTCCACACTATCGGGTATCTCCAGGTGAGTGACGTGACCTCTGGTCTCGAAATGGTGATGACTTTGGCCCAAGCAACTAACCTGTGCTCGTACGGTATTTCGTTTGCATCAATTGCGATGCAATCGTTCGTTCATTCCTTCATTCATTCCACTGTAGATTGGCTCGCTCGTGCTCACGCTCGTGGCGCCGTACGTTGAGCGGCAGTTCGAGCAGCAGACCATCTAGACGAATACAGAGGTGCGTCGTTTATAGAGGGACAGGCGCGTTGGAACCGGCTGTTGATAACGGACCTGATGGTGACTGCTGGCCATGGTGGAAACCCGGCGAGGACGTGAAAACCTCTCTCACGCGAGCAACGAACGCACGCGGACGAGGTTAGCGGTTTTATGGCACGCAGGAGGTTGTCCCACCGTCGTCGTCAGGTGGTGGTGACCTTGTCAAAGCACGGCCATAGACGGGGTCGTGCTTTTTATATTCAGCTGCTTTGTTCTTGGACAAATGTATCTTTGATTTAGTAGCCATCTCGTGTCGCTCGGGCGGCTAAAAAAATGTCATCACGCGTAGGACGACCGCACGATGAGACACCTGAGCGTGTCACGCATTGTGGAAAAGACGGGGCGCAAGAGAGCGTTTCCGTCGCGTTGGCCCGTTTCTACCGAGTTGAGGATGTAAAAACGTCCCGCGAGTCGTTCTTAGTGGATTCGTTACTCTTTCTTAGGAGACGATACTGTCGCAGATGGTCGCCAACACCTACCCCGCATGCGAAACTGATTCGAGTCCCACGCCGAGAGTCTGCAATACTCGATCCTTCCATCTCTCCCCACGCAGACCTCGTATCCACTTTCACAGTCTGCTTTATCGCACGTATCTCCTACATACACACCACGCACCCCCTCCCATCCATCGCTATATACAACCGCACGTCCTCCCCGCATCAAGTATCGCGAGTTTCGCGCCGCCCCCGCTCGCCCCCATTCGCATTAAGCCATCCGCCGCGTGACGACTGCGCTCTCTCTCTCTCTCTCTCGCTCCTCCTACCGTCCCCATGTCGCTCTTCTCGCTCCCCAGCGTCTTGCGGCGCAGCGTCCCGTCCGACGGCAGCGACAGCGCGTGCGCCGTGCGGCCCTCCGTCATCAGCAGCGAGCACCTGAACGCGCAGCTCCTCGAAGAAGCGCAGCACAGCGAGCAGCACTTGTTCTTTGGACCGCAACAGACGGTGTTCGAAGGCGAGCGCCAGCGCGTGATCCACGGCGAGCGCAAGATCCAGAAGAACAATAAGCGCTTCTGGCTCGTCTCCGAGCCGCTGTGCATGGAGCGCGACAGCACGACGTCGCTCATTGGCTTCCCCACCGAGCCGCAGATGCGGGCCACTGGACTGGGGAGCAAAGTGTCGGCGGCCACGCGTTTCATTGGCCAAAAGGTGGCGCAACTCAAGTTTCCGCCGTCGCACGTCAACGATGACTCGTTCTGTGACGGCTGCGGCCTGGACCCGATCGTGGGCAACATGTACTCGTGCTCCAAGTGCGTGAATTACCACTTGTGCGAGAGCTGCTACCACCTGGGCATGCACGGCTTTGAAGAGTCGAAGCTGCTGCTGGACGTGCGGGAGGACTTTGCCTTGCGCAACGTCATGGAAGTCTCGCGGAACAAGGTGCCGGAAGAGGTGTTTACTGTCCTGCTCAAGACGGTCTGTCGAGGCCAAGTGGACAAGTTTAACTTTCTCGCCAAGTGGATCACAGCTGTCGTGCTCGGTCAGCCGATCAATACGCTCGAGGTGCGTGGTATTGAGATCCCGCATCTTGACGTCGAGACGCGAGGGATTTTGGTGAAGCTCTTGACGCCCGTGTTGGCTGATCGCACGGACTTGGAAGTGTGCATGGAATGGTTCTGTCCGGTACGTTTTTGTAAGGAAAGGGAAGCTGAGCATTGGAATAGGAGACCTGACAGTTGTTTTCTTTGTATGGTTGTTTGACGATGTTAGGATGCCGACAAGATGGAGCTGCCTGGTGTGCAGCGTCGCCTGGAGACGATTCGTATCTGGGTGGCCACTGACAAAGAGCAGAAGTCGCCTTTTGCTGCAAAGGGAAGTCTCAAGGACGACGACACAGATTCGGACGTGTCGTCGACAGGAGCTGATGGGGACGTCATTAGCTCGCCAGGCCCGGCTAGTCCAGTGTCGGATTCGCCATGCACAACGCCATTGCCGTCTCCGTCGGGAGTTCGTCGCAAATCGACGGGCGCGACGTCAATGACTTCGGAGTCTTCTTCACAGCATTCTCCTCCACGCCTGGATACGTTGACACTTGCTGACAAGACGATGGAGTACAGTTACGAAAATGGCGAGGACGACGAGGACTACATGTCGGACTCGGTCAAGAGCGATATTGAGCCGCGGAAAGTGGACAGTCTCTCCCCGTCTTCTGGTCATTGATTGGAAGGCATTGAGATGTGAGAAGAAGGGAGAAGCTCGCGACTGTGGCGAACACGGTGAGGCTGTGAGGTCTTAGCGGCAGTAGCCACAGTACGGGTCTCTTTCATTTTGTTATTTTCGTTTTCGTTCAGCACTCGAATTGTAAAAGAGTTTGCATTATTGTACTTCAATCGTGTCGCTGGGGTGCATTTTGAACGCGAAAATGTATTTGAAAAGATGCTGTTTCTTTCGCTCGCTCTTCGTGAGAAAACGGCACGTATCTCAACTCTACACGCAGACGGCCGGCTCGCACCTACGTCTGTTCGCTTTTGTGCTCTCTGTCATCAACCGTGCAATCGCAAACTACTTCTTGGCGCGGTAAAAAGCGAGGTACGCCATGTGCCAGTCACCCCCGCCCTTGAGTTTCATAATGTCCTCCGTCTTGCACGGCGAGACGTCGTCATCATCGTAGCAATACCAGTCATCTGTCATGGCAGAGAGCACGTCATCTTACCACTGCTGTTCATCCACAGATAGGACTGGTCAAGCATACCTCCTTCGTGACGAACCCACGCCATGTAATGGCCCGAGTCAGCGGAACGACCCTTGTGCGTCAAAATCGCGTACAGCTCGTAGTTACCCTACCAAGCAGTTTATAGCGGCGCGCATTAGTCAGCCAGCGTATACGAGGCAGTGCATTTACAAACAACTTACTTGGAAATTGGCAGGCAATTCAATACCGGGCGACTTGGCACCCATCGAAAGAGCGCAAGCAGCTTCTAAAGCGTCCTTCTCTTCCTGAGAGAGATCGTCCATGCCGTCATCCTCATCTGCTTGCTTTTTCTCCTCGCTTTCTTCCTCCTTCTGCAAAACGACACACCAACATTAACTCTGTTTTTACTGCGAAATCTACTGGTAGCACACACAAAAACGTACGTCCTTAAACTCGTTCAACAACTTCTCGGCATTCCTGTCACGCGAAATCTTCATTGTCGCCTTCAGCTCATCGGAGCAAAAATCGTAGACGTCCAGAGTTGTGGGAAAACCAATGGGCTACGTCGTACCAAATTATAATCTCAGCAAACACAAGCACACACCACGCAGTACCGACAACAAAGTCTACTCACTCTCAGCATCTTGCACTTGACACCAGTGTGGTCACGACTCTCCGGCGTTGTCTTCCAGTAGAAACGCATGAACTGCACACACAAGTACTTGGGCAAGCGGTTTATCCGCAGCGTTTTCTTCCACACTGCGTTGCGACCAAGCACATCCGAGTGTTTTTCAATCGTGCCTTCCAGTCCCTGTCACATCACACGTAAACATCCAAGACACCCACACTCACGTATAAGAACCACACCGGCCGCATCTGGTTGCAGCACGATCCTTACAATCTTAACACCCTCCGCCAAATGATTCGTCTCAATCGTGATGTTGCACACGAGCTTGAGCGCCTTCTCCTTCTTTGCAATCACCGCCTCCGCTTCACTTTCCGTGCACTCAATCGTCTCGTCCATCTCCAGTCCAAACAGCGCATCGACAACGTTCGACGCAGGGCCAAGCGACGTGAGGCCTCCTCCTGCCTGCGTCAGCGTCTGCTGCAATGTCGAAAAGAGCGTCGAGAGAAACTCGTCACTGTCCTGTTGCATGTACCCGCCACTGCGAGGCGCTTGCTGGGCAAACTGCGGGTAGACCCGACGTAACACGGACACGAACACGAACGGCGTGATGCTATCGACGCTGCCGTCCAAGTGGCTGTACATGTCTCGCAATGCCGTCGAAAAGCTCGAGGCCGAGGTTCCTGGCGCGCCGCTGGGCTGCGACGCCAGCGCATTCCGCAGCTCTTTCACTGGTCGTAAGCATTGCAATGTCGCGTTCATGTAGCACGTATTGCCCAAATTCACAAGACCGGCAGGGTACAGTGTACCCGTCATGGCTACATCTTTCGATGTCATGTCCTCGATAAAGACAATGGGCTGCTTTGGTTTGTGGACCACCTCAGCTGAACCCATGAGCATGACACCCGTCCCATCGACGAAGTTGGCCAGCGTCGAGAGCTCCACGTCGTCCTTGAGCATCCCTTTCCACGCCTTGGACATGAGTTTCTGGCGGTCGACAGGCACGGACGTGAGGTCGTAGAGCTGCGCCTTGAGCACAGCCACGGGCGCGGCTTTGTCTACTTCGACATCCTCGAACAGCTGCTTGCCCCACTTGACACTTACTTTAACCGTCATGTCACCGCCTTGTCCGGTTTGTTTTTCTATTTTTAGAGGACGGAAATAGATCGCCAGCTCAGCTAGGGGTGGGGGTGGGTGGTTGTGGAGTTGTGCTCTTTTGTTTTTTTTGTTGTGTTTTTTTGCGTTGGGTGGTTGAAAAAGATCATCATCTGATATACCGGTACTTAGGGCTACGCAAGTGTAACCGGCACGTTGCGATGCTATTTGTACCAATCGGATCGATACTTGGACGTCGTGAGGTCGACGGTATCACGTAGCGAAGCAGCATCTTCTCCGCGATCTTCGAACCATTGCATGCTCGCGTGAGTGCGGTTTGCGACCTTCAGTAGTGCGAAACCATAGTCGGCCTTACGGTAGGCAGACCATTCCGGCTGTGGATCGTAGTACGTCGGCGCCAGACCTTCACGATTGCCAGCATCGCCGAGTACAATGTACATTGGTCCATCTTCTACGACTTGTTCCTTGTACACAGGATGACTGCGCTCATAGGCGTGAACGTGTCCTGAAAACACCACGTCCACCTTGTTCTGGTACAGTATCTCTTCCATGTGCCTCTTCATCATCACGTGCGGCTCCATGCCCTGATGCGCCGTGTTGCTATTGTACCACGGTCCATGCATAATCACCACTACCCACGGACAGACACTGCGGTCAACGCGCTGGAATTCTTGCTGTAGCCATTCGTACTGGAGCGACGTCGGGCTAGAGTCAACGTACGGCGTCAAAATGATAAAGTGCACGAGGCCAACACGAAATCCGTAATATAGATTGCGGCGCTGCAGGTGGTTCGAGCGGTCGTACGGCATCCGAAATCGGGTCTGATAAGCAACAAACTCGCTCACGTTCGACTGGCAAGGATACTCCACTTCGTGATTGCCAGACGCGATCATCCATGGCACCTGAGCAATCAACGGCTCAACGAGATTGCCCCACCGGTCCCATCGGTACTGGTCACTATCAGCATACGATAGATCACCAGCACACACGATAGCACTCATCGTTGACCGGTAGCTCGCGAGATTGTGGATCGTCACTTCCGAATACACTGTTTGGCTACGCCGGATACACGGATACAAAAAGGATCAGTCACCCATCGACCATGCAGCAGGGATTTACAGTACCAATTCTACAATCACCTCCCCATACCCGAGGTCGCCAATGATGCCAAACAGCTGTGGCATTTCATTTCCAGCTGGAACAGGTGTCTTGAACGAATACACACGACTGTATCCGCCACCATCGTCTCCGCACTGATCTGTTGGGCAATTGCACCGCGACTTAAGACATGACAGAGAAAAGAGATGACTTTGACGTCCTTCTGGACACGAATGACACGTACAATAGTACATCGTTGCTGCCTCTAGCTTGTCGCCAGGGATCGTCACGTGATGGAACCACGGCGACGTGTACGAGCAAAAGTCGTACTGCTCACAGCGCTCTTCAGCTTGCTGCACCATTGACAGATCATCTCTCGATAGGCCGAAGCGCACCCGAGACGTACGAGTCTTTTGAGCCGTAGCCCATGAGATGGTCATACCCAACCGTATCTCTTCCATTGCAGAATCAGACGTCCGGATAACAGCGTCGCTCTTCACATTCGCTTCACTGGCAAATGCGACGTGGATCTGTGACGGTCGAGCAGACTGAGGTGGCGACGATGATAGAAACTCCGTGAAGCTTGTGACGCGTGTATCGTAGACTAACGAGTTGAGCGCGTTACCGTTGCTGAGAGTGAGAACCACTGAGACAAGTAGCAGCACGGAGACGCCAATGGTCGCCATCTTCGTTCACTGGACCGGGATCTTCCGGTCTGTTTGGTGAACGAACGAGACGGTGGCGGGAATGTGGCGCGGAGGGACTCGCGGACGAATCATGGAGCTGGACGTGGCTGTTGTCACAAGCTCATTCTGAACTGCTTCAAGTGGCTTCAACTTGGCTGAAATACCGAAAAATACCGAGGAGAAGAGTAAAAAACGAGGACTGGACGAGAACCAGCCGATGATGAATATCACGACTCGAAAGCAGCTGGTGTGTACCACATTTATTTGTACGCATGATGTTTTTCTTCTTCACATCATGTAGTCGTCTCCCGTACAGTCCAGTGTCCATACCTACAGGAGATGTGGTCGAACTGCAGCGAGGAACCGACGTTTTTGCTGCTTTGTTCTTACTTGGCCAACACAGATGAGTGTGGAAATAAGATGTCGAGATTTTGACCGGAGCTAGACAAATCCGACTACACTGCGTTGTGTTCGTGCCCATCCCCGATACCATCGGTACCCCTAGTAGGCAGCGAGGATCGTGTCGGAAATGTATTTATTCAAAACGTGATCTTGCTTCTAGCATTGGGCTTGGCAAATGCGATCATGATCTAGTAGTTAAAAAGTAGGTGCATCAACTTTGATGCTATCATCAGCCGGGTACATGGCAGCGGATAGCAGCGTGTCAGCTCCCTTCTTAAGTCCGGGATCATGTGAAATACCGGGGTGTTGCAGCATCTACGACTACCCCCTGATCACGTATTGTGGAACTATCTGAGAGCACATGCTTGTTCAGGCAATGAATTGGTCGCTGCAAAGTAGTATTAACATAGATACATCCGGTGGGTTGCTAGACGCTTTCTTGAAAGTACGAGTCGTCGGGTGATGATTACTGAGACGACATGGAGGCGGGTGATAAAGCCTTCAAAAAGGATCTGAATCTTACGATAAACCATCTATCTAACTTGCTTATGGCGTAAGAGGAACGACGCTGGGACTATAGAAGTGCAGATCACGGCACCGACACAAAGCGGTCAACAAAATTTGGCTCCATCGCACGCCTGTATCGCTCCATGTTACTTCTCGTACTCAAATAAATCTCGACTGCTACAGAAGTGTACCACCATCACAGACCGTCACGAAATTTCGTCTCCCTCAGCCCGCCACCTGATTCCATCGTGTGTTCAGTCTCCAATCAGCGACGTGTGGTAGCGCACCATAAGCTTACGTTGCCAATCACGTCACGGACCCGTCTTAAGTGCGTTTCCGACGATCACTTCCGACAGACCGACCTCGCGCACTTCCGTGGCCGCTCCATGGCTGCCAACGACACAGCAAACGCTGCAAAGAGCGCAGTACCGCCTCCATCAGCAGCAGCATCATCATCCCATGCTTCTCCTGCTTCTCCTGCATCTGTAGCAGCTACGGCTGTACCGTCGGCGTCTCTTGAAGGTCCCGAAGAGCTCCGCAATAGCGTTGCCAGGACTGTGGACACCGCACAGGCCTCTGACCGAGCCCCAGTACCGCTCAAGCCTCATCCGAAGCCGAGAATGCGCGCACCGCCTCGACGACTGCGCAGTGGCAGTGGAAGCGGCAGCAACACGAGCTCCAGTGGCGTACAGCGCGAGTCTTGCGACCCACGTCCGGTACCTAGTACCAACATGGGAATTGTCGTGGGGACGATGCGACGCAGAAACCTCTTGGGTCCGCGGACGAGCTCCGTGTCGGATGATGAACATGAAGACGTGATGGCTGCGCCGCCTCGACGCACGCCGGCGTTGGCTCCTCGACGGAACAAGCGACAGCCGAGTTTACGCAACATGGCGTCGCTCGTGCGCTCTCATCTCCGCAGCTCCAATAGTCCTGCTGGCAGCTGCAATGGAAGTGCAAGTGACAAGGCCGATGATGCAGACGTTGACGGTGGAGACGCTATTAAGGACGCAGACGGCGACACTGATAAGGACGATGATGGCGACGCTGTTGTTGATTCTGATGCCGCTGAAGATGCTGCTGCAGCCAAGAGATCAGCGCTGCACCGACAAAATTCGTCGTTTGCAGGCGTGGCAAAGAAAGTGGTGACAACCAGACGCGCGGCGAGGGGATTCTTGTCTTTGTGGACGAAAGATTCTGCCGACACAGTGCATGTGTATCGCGGTATCCACATGGAGAAGAAGAAGCTCGATCTATTGAGTGTGGCGTCCGAGTACAAGGAGATTAAGCGTCGACAGTTTTACCAGGAGCTCGTGGTGTACTTTGTGTTCCTCACACTGCTCTTCTCGCTGTTGTCGTGGCTGCCAGTGCGAGACAGTTTTCATCAGAACGACGTGGTGGGGTCTCTTACTTGTAGAGAAGAAGGCGAGTGCGATATCAAGACGTTTGCTGATATCTACGACTTTGCTGGCAAACTAAGGAACATTGTGTGTGACCGTAAGGGGGTTACGGCACAATGGGTTCGTGTTGGTGGCGTCGGTTTCCGACAGGTGCGTGTCAAGGAGCAGCGCTGTCGAGTGTACGACCGATGGGAAGCGCCTTGCTACCCGTTTTACAGCCCTGAAGTAGAGCAAAAAGATCGTTTGGTTGGAGAAAACGGCTCAGGACGTGCTTACGAGTGGAGAGATGGTCTGGGCGAATTATCTCCCGAGGTTTACCAATCGTCTATAGACTGGCTGTTCTTCGCACCTGCTGAGTCGTACGGCTCAGGTGGTTACGCAGTAGATCTGTGCGATTTGGAGAACGTGAATGAGCTTCAGCGTGACAGCTTCTTGTCCGAACATACACGTGCGGCGGCGTTCACGTTTGTTTTACTGAACCCGCTGACTCGTGTGTTCACTATCGGAATGCACGTGATCAAAGTCGACCCGTCCGGCCATATTGACCACTTTGTGCACAGTTCTCATGTTCGAGTTATTGGCCATGAGAAGCCGAAGCAGTTGACAAATGTTGACGACGGCGACAACGGTAACCACGCATCATCGCAGCCCCGTCTTCATCACAGAATGTTGAACACCATGGATCGTTTCATGGCTTTGCTACAAGAAGCGGTTGATGCACGCGTTGTGCTGTGGATTGCACTGGTTCTGTTCTTCATCACGTACTGCATCGGTGAAGCAACCGAAATGAGCTCAATGGGCGTGGCTACATACCTCGGATCGGACATGTGGAATCTGTTCGAACTTACTCACTTGGCGGTACTTGCCGCAATGTTGAGCTATACGGTGCATTACCGCATAGCATCCAGTACCTTCGCAGTGTACTTAGCAGACCTGCAGGAAGGCCGTGGCGTCGAAGAGCTTAGCCACTCGAGTTCGTTGGAACTCTTGACTGGATTCCAGCAGCTATCAGATCTTGCGTCGCTGGGATCTGCTATCAGCTTACTCAAGGTGTTTAAGTTTCTACGCATGAATGCTACGCTGAACTTGCTCTGGCGTGTACTGGGCATGGCTATGAGCGACCTCATGGGCTTTCTGGTCATCTTCAATCTGATCTTTTTGGGATATTCAGCCATGGGCAGCTACGCTTTCGGCTTTGCTCTTGAAGAGTACTCGACGATCAGTAAGTCATATGGTACCTGCTTCCAAATGCTGGCTGGCGAGATGGACTACGGGCGGCTGCGTCAAGCGAATCCTCGTATTGCACCGATATTCATCGGCACTTTTGTGGTCTTGGTGTTTCAGATCCTTGTCAACATGTTTGTTGCAATTCTGTCTGAATACTACGAAGTCGCGAAGAACGATGAGACCGGCAGTCGTGATGATGTTGAGTACGATGTGCTCGCGCGTATTCGCAGTTTTGTAAGTGCGTGCTCCCCGACAGTCGTTGTGCCCAAGGATCATGGCGTCATTCGTCTCATTCCGTGGCAGCAAGTACGACTTATCTCGACAAACCTGGTTGACCAAGAAGAGACACGCCAGCGTGTAAGAAAGTTATTCCGTGGTGCTGTTTGGCGTGTCGTCGCCTTGTTGCGCTTTGGAATGAAGCTTGATCGCCGCATTAATTTTGGCGATCGCAAGGCACACGATGGACTTAGTACGCACAATAGCAATGGCAACGGATCTGGAAATGACAAGGATGATCGAGAGCTGGTGTCGCACATACGGCTGTCTGAAAATTTCGACCACAAGACAATTAAGGGTATGATACCTATTGGTATCACCATTCGACTCCAGACAGATTCTATCCTAGGCGAAGGCCTCGCCCTTAAAGTTGTTCACCATAGCAAGCTATCAGTGGAGTGCATCGTTCTGGGACCCAATGAAGCGGAGGGCGGTAGTGTCGGAATGAGCTGGACCGAGAAGATGAATGGTGCGCCAAAAGCGTTTTCGCTTCCTTGCTCTATGTCTTCGTCGGGTTCGTTTGAGTACGATTCTGACGATAGCGTATCACGAGTACGTGTTCTGGAGCTGATGGGTGGTGAGAAGTTGCGAATTCCGAGAAGGAGGCTTGCGGTGCACTTGTGTCGCACCTTGTTGCAGGAGCTCAAAATGGGTCTCTTGCGTGCAACGAAATTGTGGAAATACTCCAAAGATCACATGGTGGACGATTATCACCTCGGTCTGCTATTCGATCGAGTCCGCGAGGACGGCCGCACAAGCCTTCGTTTCGATGAGATCTCTCGCATGCTGGACCTGTTCTTGCGTAAGGACAAGCGCAAGGCGATGTGCTCGCAAGCGGACGTACAGCGCGAAGCCCTTCATGTGATGTATCGTTTCCGCAAGTGTCTGATCGACATGCCGTCTCGCGAAAAGGAGGGTCACAACTACCATCCGAAGCCTGTTGACACGTCAAAGGTGGAGCTGGGTCCGCTTGAGCATCTTGGTGACGTCCTCGCCCGCAATTGCCACGACATGTGGGCACTGGAACGTCTCAAGCAAGGTTGGCAGTACGGTATTGAGCGCGATGACGAGGGCAAGAAGCACCCGAACCTCGTTCCGTACAAGTTGCTGTCCGTGGAAGAGCAAGCTTTCGACTACCGATCGTCCATTGAAACGATCAAGACGATTGTCCTGATGAACTACACTATTGCGCGCTCGAGCCACCAGCGCTCTCTCAGCGGCTCCTTCCACGACTCGATCCCACGATCAACGTCCATGATGTCGGATATTGGCGAAGGCCTCGGTGGAAGCAACAGCTCACTTGTTAGCTGTGGCTCCGATACGACGAGTCCTCGAGCTCATGACTCTGCAGTATTCGAGGAGTTGGGCACAGCTTTTCACCCTGGAGCGCCAACGAGGGCCGTGCCGTCTTTACTGCGCGAAGCAATGAGCTTCCGTCGCAACAGTTTGATGAGTGACTCCCCGTACTTCACGACCTACGGCGAGGACAATGTTGAAGTGTATCGTCCTCTACCTATCGACACGACAGCAGTAGAGGTCCCACCGAGGCTGCTGCGCCTTGTTGACCTGTTGGCCGAAAACGCCCACGAGGTCTGGGCGAAGGGTCGTATGGATGAAGGCTGGACCTATGGTCCGCAGCGTGATGACAGCACGAGGAAACATCCGTGCCTAGTGCCGTACGTTTTCCTCACGGACGACGAAAAAGAGTATGATATCAATATCGCCAAGGAGACGCTCAAGACTCTAATCGCGATGAACTTTACGATTGTGGACCGCCCGAGCAAGTATTGATGCAGGATTGATCCAAGCTCTGGTGCCGACAGTGCGGTCGTACATATCGCATAGGTCGGAACGTTGCAGGCTCAGCGGATCAGTCGTCGACGCTAGCATTGGTGCTGGATCGAACGGCATTTGGCAAAGACGGTGTGGGTCGTGGAGGTGTACGATTTGTTGTGGTATTTGTTCCACAAAGCGCTCTGCGAAGACAGTCGTGAAACTCGCGAATTGTATCGTGAGTGCGAAATGTGATTCCAGCTGGGACGTTGTGGGCATCTAAGCCAAACACGGGATTGCTCCTGTCTCTAGCAGAGCTGTCGTAGAAGACTGGAGAGTCTCATCCGTACCGATAGGTGTCAAAACCTAAGCCGGTACTACATGAGCAATGGCTTCAACATAGCGAGCTGCAGATCACTGATCCGTCATCCCGGCGAACCTCGTGTAAGCCAAGTACATTCACTTGACTCTGGTAACCCAACGTTTGATTACGTCAAGCTTGTTGATCCTATTGAAGGCTTGACCGGGGCAGACTCTGGTGCGTAGCCCATCCTGATACTTGCTTGCCTCCAAAAGCTCAGCATCACTTAGAAGCACCCTAGCACACTCGTTCGAAGACAGTAAGTCGGCAAAATTGGCACAACACTGAATGAGGCCTTCCACCCGAATCGATGGATAGAAGGAAAAGTCTCACGACAATCGTAGTAGAGCTAGCTGTCGTCATTGAAGCACAATCCTCGTGTGCCGTGATCCCCGCTCATTTTAGGCATATCTGAGCCCGTGGTCGACATCTGATCTCAAGCGTCAGATGTGTATTCGGCTGGCACTAAGCCGAGCCAAGTCGAGTTGTGCATGTTGCACACACGCTGGAGAGAAGTGCATCAGAACTGTCAGTAGTTTCGTTGGGATTGATGACACGTGCAACACCTGCGTTGGGCTTGTGCTTGTATTTTCCTCGTATCGCTGTCGCTATCCCTATTTCGTACATTTAACTTACAAAGCCATCGTCTCCACGCATCAAGCGACTCGGTCCGATCGCATCAAGCGACTCACTCGGTCCGGTCGCATCGCTCTTCCCTCTTCCTCTTCTCTTTCTCTCGTTTATCCGCCTTCTCGTCATGTTTCTTCCATCAAAACACTCACTTCACTTACTCACCACACACGGGCTTGTCGAACCATGTGCCTTGCTTCTCAACTGAAGCAGCTAATGCTGCGCACTTTCTTCTTCGTCTGGCCCTCGAGCATACTCTCAGCTTGACACGTAACTTCCGCGACGACAGCATCAAAGAAGGTGACACCATCCTTGTCCGCGCACAAGCCCATGTCCTCCTCGACAGCCGTCACCGCCTTGGCAACGACCAGTTCCAGCTGCGAAGGCGACGAAAAGTCACCGTCGCGTTGCAACAGACTGCCGATCTCGAACAACGAAAACCCGGCCTCTGCTCCACGCTTCAGCAGCGCTGTACACACACGCATCGTCGTCACGCACTCCTCCTCAATTCCAACAGCACGCAGCACGGCCGCGTCGCGCTCTTCGTTGAGCGACGCAATGTGCTCGAGCTCCGCACATGTAAAAGGGAATTCAGCCTGAGGCCACTGCAGCCAGTCGAACGTCGCGCCATCCAAATGCTTGTACGACGGCAAGCAAAAGCCGTGGTCAATCGGTACTATGCCAAAAGTCTGGTCATTGGCCCGCGCCTGCAGCAAAATGTTGCCAGCATGGCGGTCCGTGTTAAACAGCCGCACATCCAGAATGCCAATCTTGTGCACCTCAGGGATCGCAAATTTTAGCGTGCCAATGTCTTCCGCTGAGCACTGCGAGGCCACAAACTGCTGCATCGATCCCTCCTTCTCTTCTCCACCCACATTCAACACCATTAAATTCGTCACAGGTACACCACTAAAGTTGCCATAAGCGTCATCCAACAAATAGGCCGCACGTTCACGCAGAGCGCCATTGCCGATGCGAAATCCCTTGTTCACCGGGTGCTCCGTCACCCCCACTACTGCGTGTTCCTTCACGTATCCCCGCGGATTATTCGGAGCCATGTACTCTTCATCTCTTGGCTTGAACACACCCATCGGCTTCGTCTGCTTCGCCGTGTCTATTTTCAAGTAGTACACGCCGCCACAGCCTTCACTCGTCATCTCGAACGTACTGCTCGAGTCCTGCACCAAGCAATTGACCTGATCTGCAAAGCGGTCACAAGCTTCCGAGTGGAACCACGAAGCCTTCAGCCCACAAACAGGTGCAGTCTCTGACTCGACATGCTTCAAATGCCGCTCCTGCAATGGAGTAGCAGCAGGAGTAGCAGCAGCAGCAGCAGTAGAGACAGTCCTGTTTCCTTGTCCACTGTCCTGTTTGAACGGCGACGAGCGGCGCATGGGCAGTAGACGGAGCTGCACAATCGGGTACAATTTCGTCACGACCGTCTGCTGCAAGAGCCCCTTGGCGTTCAGCATCGCAGATCCATGGAGTCGGATCCGACCCACAAAGCGACTCGTGACGCGCTTGTGGCCGTCCTCAATGGCCATCAACGTCTCCGCGGCAGTCGCCGAGCTTCCACTGAACCAGTCGACAGCGCCCATGCCCTTTCTCTCCTCTGCAGATCAGTTAGCTACGTCTGTGGACGTAGGGTAGGTAGTGGAGATGCAGACGAGCGAACGACGGAGCGGAAGTGACGTGAAGCTTGAGAGCAGACGAACGAGCTTGAAACCCGAGAAGCTCTGGAGCTAGAAGAGAGAGAGGGAGAGAATGATGATGATGACGTGGGGGTCTCTCTTCTAGCGGCGCTGGACGGCAAGAGACGAGAGAGAGAGGGCGAGAGGGCGTCTGGAGCAGGTGCTTGTGGGTCGTGCTTCAAATTGCAGAATGCCGTCGCTGGCGAAAGGAGCCAGTGTATCAGTTATAAAGAGGACCTGCGAGAGCTGGTACGTCGTCGTCGTGCTGACAGTTTTGTTTGCTGAGGTTTTTTGCCAAGGGGAGAAAGGGCAGGTTGATAACGAGCAATGTGGGAAGAAGGAGCGAAGAGGGCGAAAGAAAGGGCGGGTGGAGCTTGATCCTCCACGAGAAAGAGAGAGAGAGGGAGAAAGGGGAAGTTAGACCTGTATATACTGGAAGATGGTGGTATTGTTCTTGATTGCTCTGATGAGCAAAGGCGATGGCGAGCTGCGTATGTATGTAAGTTCGAACCGGCGAGGGCGACATTTGTGTGACTTTTCGTCAGGAGAAGCACAGCCAAGTGCGGGTGCGAAAACATCTTGAGTCGGATCTTTGCGTAGTTTTTTTTCGGTTCTGCAGAAAAAGTCGCGTCGGTGTCGTTCGCTTGGGGCGTGTGGCACCGACCACAAAACCAAGCGAGCGTTTCGCTGGTTTGTCCCACCACGTGTAAAATCTGCAGTTGGCCCACAGTGCGAACTCGTTGCCATTGAGCGCGGCGACAGCTGGTCTTGTCCCACTGACGTTTTTACAAGCACGCGACGAGACAAATTTGTCTCGTAGAGTAACGTTTCAGTCGCTGCAAAAAGTAGCTGCAGGGCTAGTGAAGTGATTTCCCAAGACTACTCAAGCGATCCCTCGACGACAACACTCTGGTCAAGAACTACAACAAACGCCATGAGCGTCCCTATCACCTCTAGCGACACTTCCGTCGTGCTGCCTTCTCGGTACTTGTAACGGGATAGCACACGATGAAGAAAGTGCACTGGCTCTGTTGTAGTGCCTCGCTTGGACCGCCTCATGTTCGAGAAAGTCGCAGAGCCGTATACTAATGCTGATGCTCATGACCACACTCTTGACCTTATTCGACATTCAGAGCGGATGGTTGCTCGCTTCCGCCCTCAAACAGGACGCCGCGATGAGGACGTCGTCCAACCGACGTCAACTTTTGCCCCTTCCCGTCCCCCATGTCGAACCTTACCGGATCGACACAACGAAACGCATGTACCGGTATCGTCATGAGCATGGTCGCCGTCCGGCAGTAGCCCCTCTCTCATGCTCACGCCAGCACAGTCGCAGACACAGACAGACCTGACGCAGTTTGACGATTTTCATGTGGGACGCGACAATGTCGTCATCGCACAAGGCCTTGCTGTTTCACTTGCATGACGACACTGCTGTCTGTACCGATGTGTCGGGTTTGACGAACAACTAGCAACAAGATGAACGTCATATTTAAGAGAGCAGCGACTCCAAAAAAGATCGACTTTGACTCGGCAGACCGCTCCAACGTGCTGCTCGGCTGTGGGGTAAGCGGCTCCGTCTGCAGCGCAGCCACCTTCAATCAGGCAAGCGAGCGCGATCTTACTGGTCGTCCAAGGGGCGTCTTTCGATTCTTTGGCTCAGTCGCAGCTGATCCTGTCCAGATCGCGGGGCGGGAAGAAAAAGTGGCGTCGGTCGAAGCGAGCGATTCAGCAGACGCTTTCTGATTGGGCGAAAGATAGCGGAGCCGAGGCTCGCGGTCGCACATCATTCTGATTAGTAACGTTCTTTTTACGCTCGTATGGGCGACGTCCCGAGGGGGGCCAAGCACGTCATCGTGATTGGTGCTTACTGTACTCGCCGCCTGCAGCTCGTCGTACGTATCAGTTGCTCTCGACCCACCCGGATCGCCGTCTCCACTCCATCTATTGGTCAAAAAGCAGATCGCATCACCTTCTGATTCGTACAGCGCGCGTTGTCGACTATCTGCGAATCAACGGAGCCTTCCTGCCCGGGTTGGATGGCTCACTTATCAAGCCCGGGCGGCCCGTATTCCCGGCACTCCCACCGGATGCAGTGGTCACCCCTCTTCCTCCTCTTCATCGTCCTCGTCCTCCTCCCATCTTCCATTCAGTGGTTCGCCTTGGTCCAAGCAAGCGCCTGGTGTTGCATATCGATCTCCATTACGTCTCTCGTATCTAGCGCCCCCCACCCCTTGCTCGCCTCGCCATGTCTTTCAATGCACCTCCTCCATCCCTCATGCCCTACATACTGCCCATGTCGTGCGATACTGAAGCGCACGAGACCATTCAATGGGCACTCCTCAAGGAGAAACACTACACGGCCGTCCGCAATCCGCTCTACTTGTCTCAGGTTCAGCACCACGGCATGACCGCCACCTGGCGTCTACGTGTCTGTCGCTGGATGTTCGAGACCGCGAGGGAGTTTGACCTGCAAATGGACACGGTCTTCACTGCACTGCACTTCCTCGACCAGTACCTCAGCGTCCACTCGGTGGATCGCGGCACGCTGCAGCTCCTGAGCATGATCTGCATGTGGACAGCCAGTAAAATGCGTGAGGGCAGACCCATTCTCCTCGAAGAGATGGCGCTCATGTGCGAGCGCAAGTTCACTCGTGCTCAAATGGTGGACGCCGAGGCGCAGCTCGTGCGGCTTGTGAAGTTCCGCTTCAATCCTCCAAACATCTTTACAATGGCGAGAGACTTTGTCAATGAGCTCCCATTTGAGGAAGACAAGGACCGACGGGCCAACTGCGTCGCCTCCGTGTTCAACGTCCTCGAGCGAGTAGCAGAGGACATGTCGCTGCTTGACTGTTCCGTCTCAAGTCTCGCCAAAGCTGCAGTACAACTCGTGGCCAAGTCCGAGTACAACCTCTCGGTTGCGCAACTGCTCAAGGCTCTCAAGCTCGTGAAAGTCGAGGAAGACGCTTACCGCACAGCCTTCAAAATTGTGCGGGGCGCCTACTTTGGCACACCCATCGTCTCGACCAAGACCCAAACGCCGCCACGGATTGTTACGACTTCCGAGGTCTTGGAACCCATCAAGTCGCTCACGCAGAGCCCTACGGCGATCGAACAAGTGCCGCAATTCCTCGATGAAGGAGCAGCGTCGTCATTTGCAGCTGTCACTGGCCTGGACGATGCGGACCTCATTTGCACGGAGACGCTGTCTCCTTCGCCAGCTCAAGTATCTCCTGCGCCCGCGCGATCGACATCATCACCTTCGTCGACCATTGGCGTCCCTCGGACTGCGTCATCACCTGCGCGATCCGTGTCCGACGCTGAGCGACCTAACAAACGTCAGCGCAAGCTGAGCATGTAGAGGCACGATAGGACCCAACACCAGTGTAGAAAGCTGAACACCAAATAAACTAAGTTATACTCACAACCACTTCTTCCAGCAGCCTCGCCTCAGTCACTGATTTCAATGCAAGTCACACCTCCGTCGCTGCTTTCAGCATCGTCACTGCGGGCATGACCAGTTCTGCCATCAAGACGGCGCAAGTCTGCTTCTTCAACTTGCTCCTGCTGCGTGAAGAAAAGTGTTCGAATATCTCGAGTTGACAGCCTTGTCTCGCGAAGTCTGCTGTTCTTGTTAGTACTGGAGACGACATCGCTATCCCCCAAGAAAGTAGCCGTCAGCTGGCGCTTCTTGGTTTGCAAAGCCATGACACGCTCCTCAATCGAGCTTTTGACAAGAAAGCGGACAACGCGCACCTGCTTTGTCTGGCCGAAACGGTGAGCGCGATCGATTGCTTGGTGTTCAAGGCTCGGGTTCCAGCTAGGCTCCATGATGAAAACGTGCGATGCAGCTGTGAGGTTCAATCCGAGACCACCAGTACGCAACGATAGCAGGAGTACGTCAAGTGGTGGACCAACACCTGATCCCCTGTCGAAACTGTCTTCCTGTTGCTGGAAATTGCGTACCACTTGTTCTCTCTCCTTGGCAGACATCCTACCGTCTAATTTAGCAAACGCGATAGTCTCATTGCCTGTTTCTCGCGCATCGTTCAAGGATGAAACTCTTGCCTCACACTGCGCATTGTAAACTTCCAGGTGTGCTCCTATCATGTCCAGAAAACTTGTCCACTGCGAAATCACCAAAACTCGCTCTCGACAAGCTCGTACGCTCTTCAGCTCCTTCATCAGTGCTGCCAGTTTTGTAGACTCCAATGAACCGAGTCCAAAGTCACTATCCGCACCCGAGCGCTGCTTCTGGAATCGCTTCAGCAATTCAGCCTCAGCCTCTGAGAATGAAGACATGCCATCGAGTCCTTCATTCCCAGCTAGCTTTTCTACTCGCATTCGAACGTCCGCTAATGGGTCTGCGGTCACCAGAGCACAAGAATTGCACACTTGCCGTAGCCGTAGGATAAGCTCGAACACGTGCATAAACAGAGGTCGGTCCGTGTCGATCCCGGTTAGGCTTATACAAGAAGCTTGACGAGCTTTTCGTTTTGCCTCCTTCGACTGCAAATACCGCAGCACTTGCCGTTTTGTGGAGCGATACAACAGTAAATACAATACACGCTCAATATCTGAGGCAAAGTCGAGCTCGATAGTCGTTTCAGACTTTTCTGGTAGCTCCAAGATAGGAGCCCCTGAACGCGTTTCCATTGTGGACTTTAGTCGACGCAAAACAATGCGGGGTACAAGCAATCCAAGTTCCCGTTCAGATAAAGCATGGGCCCGATCACCAAGTCCAACAAATTGCAGCAGCGCTGCTAGATCTGCTGTTCGATTTTGAATCGGTGTTCCGGTCACACACCAACGGCGTTTACTGCTGAGCGTAAACGCAGCTCGTGCTCGTCCGCATCCAGCATTTGCAATGAGATGGCTTTCATCCAAAATGACTCGAAACCATTGCACTTGGTGCAGCCTCGATGTCGCTACAGATTTCTGACGTCGAGGAACGAGGCGTGGCGCTTGGTGCCATCCATCTTCTGCACCCCAGCCATTGTGTCCGCCACCACCATTGCCACTGCCTTTACTTCGTACTTTGCACTCCGAAAGCCGAAGGGTGTCGTACGTTGACAGGACAATGTCTGCTCCCATGAACTGCGTGAATGAGTGGAAGCTCTTGCGCGCAGCACCTTGGTAAGTCACTACACTCAAATTCGTTTTTGCTCGAATCTCTTGTTCCCACTGCGATAGAATAGACAGCGGCGTTATGATAAGCGTCGGAGGAATAATCCGGGGAACATCACTACCAGTCTCATTGCTTGCTTGAGCGTCAGCCGCTCGAGCCTGACGCAACGATTCACATATCAGAGCAAGGCAGCATACCGTTTTACCAAGGCCCATTTCATCTGCCAATATCCCACCGCGCACCTTCGTTATCAACGCGTCGACAGCCGTTGTGCCACCGCACCGTTGACGATCAATAGTGGTGGTACCACCAGGTTCCCGCTCTCTTTCTAGCATCCATCGTAGTGCCTCCTTTTGATATGACTTCAGTTCAATCACAAGTTCCGGCACAATGTATGGAAACACGCCTGGCTTGGCTGCTAACGATTTTCGGCGTTTATGACGCTGACGCCGGTCGCTAGCAAATCGGTACTCCATCTGAAGCGGCAGCTTCGTGTGCAGCAGCGCACCTCGGATAGCACGTTTTCGCGATGATGCCGACCCACGAAGTGCTGGAGCGGTGGTCGGGAAATGCTGCGCTGCTTCGCTTGTTAATGAGCGAACAACAGATGCATGCAAAGCTTCCCTTGCTGGCAGAGCTGTTGACGTAGCAGGCGTTGTTACATTCGCAGACGACGTCAGGCTTCGATTAGCCGACAAAGCTGTCGATGTCGTACAAGATGCTTTTCTTGTCGACTGTGCAGTAGTAGGTACATACACTGCTTTTTTCACTACGGACTCTGCCGATGAAGCGCAAGTTGACTGACTTGTCAGCACAGGTCCGTTTTGCTGTACTGCACGAATGCACTTCGTTGAAGTGGGAATATGGACTGGGCTTGACATCCCATCAGTGTCTTGCTGCCTAGTACGATCACAGACATCTTCTGGTTCTGGTTCTGTAATATCCTGAACAGCGTCAATGGTATAAAGTAGACTTTCAGCTGCACGTTGCGATCGATGATGTGTCGCCTCATCTTGTGCCACATGCATAAGTGGCTGGTTCTCGCTATCGTACTCACTTCCCGTTCCAAACTCAAAGTCAGCTTCTGAATGCCTGTCTGGCTCCTTTGTATAAATGTCACTACCGTCAGAAAAATTGACTGAATTGACTTTGCCCTCAACATCGAGCGGCGTGTCTGCATTCCCGCCTCGGTCATCAATCACAGCGTTTGCATCAACTTGCTTGTTCGTTTCTTCGACATCATCGTGTCTTATATCTTCATCTTCGTTACGACTGCGGAAACCCGGCCGTTGAGAGGCATGTGTACCTTCCGCTTTACCATGCTGCTCCACTGCACGCACTCGAGCATTTGGTTCATCAGCGTCTATTTTCACATTCCTGACATGTTGCACTTCTTGAACCTCTTTTCTGCCTTTCAGTCCCTGCACCACCACATCCTTTCCCTCTTTCTCATCACCTTCCAGTATCTCGGTCACTTGCGTACCTTCTACCTCTCCTTCATCCATTACACAAAAACTCTCTTCATCCTCACTCAAGTGCAACGAATGCAACGAAACGTCCAGCTCTTTGTCCCTACAGCTTGACTCAAGTGAAATCCGACGTGTTTGCCGTGTCTTTCCAGTCCACTGTCCCGACGTCCAAGGCGACGTAGGTGCTGCTGCTGAAAGCGGAGAGATGGTTCTTGCACGTTCAATAGATGATCTCCGAGTTCCAACAATTGGCGACACGTCAGCCATTCGCAACTGTAATCGCTGCGAGGCGCTAGCTCGTCGTCCTGGCGTCGAGTGGGACCTAAACTCCTCCGCGCCGAAAGCTGGGAACTCGCTCCAGTCATCGAAAGGAGGCGGAGTGTTAAAGACGTACGACTCTTCAAATACGAAAGACGCGTTAGGTATCGAAAGCGATGGCGATAAGGCCGGGACAGGCGCAGCCCACACACTGGGACTCCGCGAAACGTGGGCGATGCCTGCTGTCATCAAAACGTCTTGCAGTAGCTGCTCGTCAGAGGGAGCAACAGATGGAGAGCACTCAAGTGCGTACGCGCCAAAGCGATGGGCGATCACTTGCCTCGTGTAGTCGCGCCAGTCGCGCTCGTACTCGCGCCGCCATCGCGGCATTCGCGTTTTGAATTTGAAAACACGTGTTGAAACTTTTCCGCCAATGAGACAAGCGCTGCGACGTTTGATCCGAGTCGAGAGGCAGGGACGTTAAAGTAACTTTCAGTCGACTTCGTATCGACACTTCAGCCTTGCGACGGATGGTACTTCAGCTACAAAACTACGGCAGTCCGGTCCAAGTACGGCAGAAATGATCGACAAAGAGGAGCGTATAATACTGACAGTCCGATTTCTAGTTGAGGGCCATCCCTCGATATACCACGCTAATTAGCAGCCCCTCTAAAACTTGTTCCGGCGGTTGTCAACAGAACTGGCATTGGGGTGCGGCCGACGTTACTACTAGTACGGGGTATTCACACTATGGAAACAAAAGTGCGTCCTGCATTTCTGCGTCGCATGAGGAATGAGGCAACGGGGAGTCGACGGACGGACTGCTGACGAACTGACTGGAGGACAACGAGGCTATCGCCGCCGCACGGAAAACCGCTGGAACAAACCGCCACCTGGTTCAGCCGATTCGGGGACTTCGTTCGCCCCCAACAAAGATGTCGCCTTCTTGCTGAACGCAAAGAGGAAGCCGCGGTGCGAGCTCGAGTTTTGTGCTCTCCTCTCTTCTGCAGCTTGAAGCAAAGACTGGCAATCGTGGAAAAGCAGATTCTCCGGGCTGAGCACGTTGTACACGGTCTCGTCATCTTGAGGATCCGGCTGCTGGGTTGAGGCGTTCGAACACGGCTCAGGGTGCGGACCAAACAAGCTCGTGGCAGCGATGCTAGCGTAGTAACCAGCTTTCGACTGCGCCATCGTTGCCAGGTGGAGACCATAGCTGGCCAATGATGAAGTCGACGATACAGTTAAATAGTTGAGTGATGTCAGCGAGTTGCGGTGCTTGAGCACATCGCCATCTTTTGCCTTGCTCGGCAGCAGACAAGAGTGGCCGATCTGGCTAGTCCCATCGTACGCATCGTCGCCATAAGGCCCCACGACATTCGAGACTGATGGACAAACAGCCATGGAATCCAGCGAGCCAATAACAGACACTGGCTCATCACCATCCGCCTTATCCCGAAAGCGTAAAGACTGGCGTAGTTGGTCCACCTGGTCATTCAGCAGCGAGTCCAGCGCCGCAGAACTACCACGATCATTCTTAGATGAGAGGTCGGCGGTCGTGAGATCCATGTTGCTAAAGTACCGACTGCTATCATTACTCTGATGGTAGGGCGGGAGCGACGACGTCTTGCGGAACGAGTCGTCTTCGGTGCCCGAGTCCGACATACACTCCTCATCCATATCACGCCGACGCTGCTGTCGGCACTTGACATCATCATAGTTGAACCTAGAGTCACCGCTGCCCGCCAACCCATCCGCAGTAGGGGAGTGAGCTTCAGATTGTTCGCCAAAGATCGAGGTCAAATCCGAGCTATAGTCGTGCAAAGTAGGCTCCGACGACTCGCCGAGTAACTTCTCCGTGTACTCAGTCAGCTTATCAAGCTGCGATCGTAGCATCGTTGAGTGGTTGCTCTGCTGCTGCAGTCGTATTTCTAGCATGGCGTTCTTCACTTCCATCCGCTCACTCTTTTGGCACACAGCCTCATAACTAATCTGCAGTTCCGTGTACGCCTTCTCCATATCACAATACTTCTTCTCAAGGGAAGGCACCACTGATGCAATCGACTCGGAAACCGAGATCTCTTCATTCCTGCCACCACAGCGACGCACCAAACCAGCTGAGGTGAGTGTTTCAATCCACTGTGCATTTGTTGCCACCATTGTCTCCAGAACCGACTTCATCTCAAACGTCTCTCTCTCCAGGTACTCTAAATGATTATCAAATACCGTCGGGGGCGGACTGTCACGACAGCTGACCTGATTAGTCATCGGACACGTGATCGACGCCGCACGCGTATGGCGTGACGGCGGCGACGAAGCTGCAGGGCACTGGAACGATGCAAACACAGGCGGGCCTTCGGGCTGCTGCGGCGGCGGCGAAAGACCCGGGTTCGTGCTTATCCCCATCAATGGCCGGACGTCACCCGCTGACTGGAACGGTTTCCGACTGATCATTCTCTTCGACGGACGTCGTGACGCGCCATTGACTGTCTGCAGAGGCATCGGTCCAGATGAAGCTGCCAGGTTCTTGCAGCATCCCAAAGGTTCTTCTATGGACTCAGGGGACAAATCCGTGATCGTGAACCGGCCTCTTACTTGGGTCTTGCCTTTGCGAGCAGACGAGCTGGACGCCGACAGGTCTTCACTATTATCACAACTCGGGCTAGGAGCCTCGTCATTATCGTCTCGTAAAGGCTCAGAGGTGCCCGAAATGGTGCTGAGTCCTGTACTTAACTTGTGCATGTCCAGCTCTTCGTCCGATACGTCCGTCACGACAAACTTCCGCGGTATACGGAGCTTTCGACCGGTTATTTTGGGCAATGAACAGCGACGGTGCACGTCAAGACGCGCCTCTGAAGCTGAACGTGCAAATGGCGTCTCCTCGATCGGGTGCGAGTTGGACGCTGCGACGGAACTAGTGGTCGTCATGGAGAGAATGAATGCGCCAACGTCCGTGGCGTACAAGAGCTTTGTTTCCTGATGAACCTATCGCGAGAAAGGCCGATCGGTGCGGACGATAAAGACGGACGGGGCGCTGGCTGCACGGCCACGTCCGAAGGTCTCGAGGGTCTGATACTACAAAAGCCGTTTTGGCCGACGAAAAACACCAAAACCCGGGCGGCTGTGGATGGCTACACATGGGTTTGGCGAACCCGAGTTCCGGCCCGAAGACGTTTTCTACACCTCCGAGCGCCCAGTCGTGGGACAGCTCGTTTCGTTTATGACCAATCCCGTGCTCGTAAAGAGCGAAACCGTTCAGTTGTGGGAAGAGGCAAAAAATCCGGTCCTCAAGGTTTTGAGAACTGTGGTAATAAAACGCGGTGGATCCGTAATTACCACTGCAAAAGACAAGTGACGGATTTTATTTTATCTAGCGAAGGCAAGTCTGTGGGAATTAGTGCCCAGTACAAGTCGCAACGAGCGACTTACTGCGACTTGTGCAAAGCGTGTGGGATGATCTCTCTCGACGGACATTTTCTGCTGCATGTTGCAGCTGGTGAGAAACATAACGTCGTGCCTGCGAGCCACTAGGTCCACAGTTTCGAGGTGTCGTACTACCATGCTGCAGGGCGAGGCTTTACAGCTGATAAAAATGATGGACTGTTGCGGACTGTACTGATCCCCTTCCGTGTTGCCTCATGGTCGCCGCCACCTGTGGGTTTAGCGGCAACTTTTCTGATCAGCTCGGAATTTTTAAGTTTGTCAACGCAGTTGTCTTCAACGATTAGCCTAGAACCGTACTTAATGATTGCCGATGAGCTCTTGGTAGGTACGGTTGGCGTTTTGGTTGGTTCCTGGAACGACTGGCTGCCACGGCGTGTGAAATAGAGTCCGAGTGCGCGACTCAACTGATCATTACGAAACGCGCCCGCAGGAGCAAACGGAACCGAAGAGCGTATCCGCATGTATATATCCTGTCTACCTCTGTCTCAACTGGATTCTGGCGAGATCTCTCTTTCACAGTAGGGATCCCAGGGTCAAGCAATTCGCCCCGAAGTGGAGTGCGTGCGTCTTCAGCCGTCACAGATGGTTGAGTGCGTGCGCAAGCTCTGCGCAATAGTGAGGGAAAAGCGAAGCGAACAGTTGAATATCAAAGTCTCGGTTGTCGAGCAGACGGACCGTCTGGCGACCACGGTCGCCTCGCTGGAAAGCTTGCTCCAACCGGTTGACGGCTCCATATTCCCATTCTTTTTGCTAGTCATTACGACAATAATGCTGGAGACCAACCATGGAGCAGACATTGTTTCAATCAATAGACTCATCGCAGACGTAGTGTGTTTTAAAAGACTTTAAATGAAGTACCACTGATAGCACGGTCAAGTTGATAGATTCATGTTGTAGAATCGGTCAATAACGTGGATGACGCACCAAAGGTGATGGACGGTAATCTATGATCGATCCTAGTCATGTCAAGTCGATATTTCCAGCGTCATGCGCACAAATCGAAGTAGCGTTGTAGTTGTTCCAACCTCAGTTCTGAACGCTTTAAGAGCCAACGATTGTGCTTCTTCGATGACCTTAACTAGTTTCTGTGATTGATGCAAGTCCATTTGTCCAAATGCCCATGCGAAAGCGTGTGCATTCCATCTTCTCCATATAAAGTCGAAACGCGAGTGCCCACGGACGAGGTCAGGCCTGCCCCTCCGGAGAGCATTCGACGCGAGTGATCGCACCACACGCCATTGCAATTGTCGGTCGATTTGGGGCTTGCGCTTTGAGACTGCTTGTACCGAAGTCAAATATATCATGAGGCGTGTATCACTCTGTATACTCATTTGCGCTGGCACCTTGCCCTGCACTGAAGAGACCCCTGGGGACACTAATACACTACGAGAGCTTAGCGGCTATCGCAGACCCTGTAACAAGTTGCAGTCTCATCTGTTGAAAGGATGACAGAACACCTCTGGATGGAATGGGGGATCCTCATTTCGATCAAACGTTTGACCCTTCGAGCAATGTGGCGACGTCTATCTCGTTAAAAAGTACAGTTGCAAATTGAATATGGTAGAGGAACTCTACCGTGACGTCTAGCAAGCATCGCCAACGATACAAGGTGTCGATGTCTTCGAAGCAAGGCCCTGCTTTTTCGAGGTCTCTAATCTGACTGTACAGACACGAGTTTACGCCTGCACGGGTAATAGATGACTTGTAGCGTTGCCGGCACAAGCACGGTAAGCTTTACAGACAGGACCCGCTGACATCAGAGGACTCAATCCCACCGTGGCGCTTATGAACTTTAGGTTACAGGTGCCATGACACTCCAGCACATTCATACAAAGATGCATCGCGGAATTCAGATTTGCCTACACTCGCTTTGTCCCAGCTTTGTGAGTCAATCTTCCTGTCAAAACTGCTTCACCACATAAATACTCGCAATATGCAATGAGGCGTCCCATCATAGCCACAGGCGTACAACTTTGTAGCATGTAACTAGAATAAAAGATCATTTGACAAACATTGCCAAGGTACAGGACAACGCTGATAGGGCTCCAAAGAACATGGTTGGCATCAAAGACACACACACACATCGATCCGGTTGCCATTGTAAAGCCAGCAGACATTCAGGAGAATAATTCATTGATTAAATACTCCCGTCTCGCCTGATGCCCTCAAAGGTGAAGCTGGTGCTTAGTTAGAAGCCTCACGACGGTAGCCGTCCTGGCCACCGCGACGAGGTCCATCTTGGCCACCACGGCGGAACTCCGGGTTGAAGTCACCCGACGGACCCACACCCTTCTCCTTGTCAAAGCGGTTTCCACGGCCAAAGCCGCCGGAAGACGGACCCTGCGGGTGCGTCAGACGTGCCGCCTGCTTCTTGAGCGTAGCAGGCACAATCTCCGCAGGCAAGTGCAAGTACGAGCGGAGGTACTCGATTCCCTCGTTGGTGAGGTACCAGTAGAACCACTGCCAGTTGAACGTCTCCTTCACGTAGCCACGGGACTTGAGCGACTGCATGAGCTTGATCACTTGAAGGTTAGGCACCTCCACGGCCTCGTGCTTGGGCAGAGCAAAGTCCTTCTTGGCGACCATCACACCTTCCTTGAACAGGTACGAGTACACCGCAATGCGGTTCGACTTGGGGACCAACATGATGAACGAGAGCGACGACGAAAGACTGTCGAAAGAAAAGCTTGCCGGCGAGTGCGGATCTTCACGGGAAAACGAGCGGCGACGGGTGTACGAAAACCAGAATAGACCCAAGTCGGCGCCGCTCAGCCAGCCACCCGATTTTGCTTCTTGTCACATACCTAATTTGCTGGTGGTAAAAAGGGCTGGCCGTAATTACGACTTGAGCGGGACTTCTAGCCAATAGGAGGAGAAGCAAGACGGATGTAATAGCAGTGGGAATGGACGTCTTTAGCGGTTGAGTGGCCGCAAATAAGGACCTCAGCCGATGGCGACCAACGGGGACAAGTCCTCGGTGTTTGTCGATTTAACGGCCGGTACAATAGGCGGCATCGCTGGTGTTGTTGTGGGACAGCCATTCGATACTGTGGGTGATCGTCGGTCGACTTTTGCTGCTGTGTTTTTGACGGTAGATTTGATCTCAAGGTGTTTTTTGGGTGGGTGTTTGCAGGTGAAAGTGCGGCTCCAGACGCACAGCAAGCACTACAACGGGGCACTAGACTGTGCACGTCAGACTGTATGTTGGAAGTTGTGTTGTTGACGTTCGTTGCAGTGCAATTGCGATAGAGCCTGATGGTGAGCTCATTGTGTACAGTTGAAGCATGAAGGGACGTTGGGCTTCTTCAAGGGCATGACGTCGCCGGTCGTTGGCAGCGCAGCCACAAATGCCGTCATGTTTGCCGTCTATGAGCAGACATTGAAGATGATTGCGAATGACGTGCTGCAGGCACCGACGCTGACGTCGGTGTTCTTGGCTGGGGCAGTTGGAGGATTCTGGCAGACGATTCCGTTGGCCCCTGCAGAGCTCATTAAGTGCAGACTTCAGGTACAAGACGGACGTACAAGCACTCAGTACCGAGGACCGATGGACTGCATCCGGCATATTCTCAAGGTCAAAGGCACGCGTGGACTTTTCCTTGGCTTTACGTGCACCCAGTGGCGTGAAGTGCCTTCTTTTGCTGTCTACTTCTGGCTTTACGAGTACACCAAGCGCAAGATGATTGCTGGTGGCATCAACCCCACTCCTTCCATGCTGACTGCCGGTGGAGTTGCTGGTGTAGCATCCTGGGTCGTCTCGTATCCTTTTGACGGTACGTTCAATCCAGCGGGCTTTGAACTCGTTGCTGCCTAGCACGTTCGTTCGTTTGCTTGCTGACATTGTGTGGTCTAACGAACGCCACATGCTGCACTGTAGTCATCAAGTCGGCCATCCAGACGCTTCCAGTGAACCACAAGCCAGGCGAGCACAAAATCGCGTACCAGGCGCGGCAACTTTATCGTCTCGGCGGCTGGCGTATCTTCTTTAGCGGGCTAGGCACTGCTTGTGTGCGAGCATTCCCGTGTAATGCCGTGACGTTTTACGGCTACGAAAAGTCTTCGGAGCTGCTCAAGCGCATGCTCGATACGTGACTGCGTTAACACAGTACGGTGTGTCCAGTCTCTGAACCCTCATTGATCAGGTGACTTCAACATGCCCAGCCAATCACATTTGTCCTGTGTTGTATACACCACTCGTGTCTTCTCGTCGAGCTCCCCACTTCACCTTTATCCGACTCGTGCTTCGTCACTTCAAAATCGATACACGTCATGTTCTCTCTCCGCCCTGCGCGTCTGCGTCCCACTGCCACATTCCACCGCAGCTTTGCACTCCAGAGCAACTACGATCACCTGAAAGCCTGGATGACAGGAGCTCCACAGCCTTTGGACGTCGCGTCCACAAAGTTCGAGACGCTGTCGTTAGAATTTCTCCACGACTCGAATGTCCTGCACTTGAAGCTCGATCGTCCAGAGGTTTTCAATGCCATGAACATGCACATGTGGGTAGAACTCGCGCAAGCCTTTGAAATGGTCGAGCGCGATCCAAGTGTCAAAGCCGTTGTGGTGTCGGGCGAAGGTCGTGGCTTTACGAGTGGCATGGACCTCGACGTGTTTGCTCAGATGCAAAAGATCGCGGGTGAAGAGTCTTGTCAAGGACGCACACGAGAGCGTCTCATGCGTATGATTGACCAGTTCCAGCGCGTCATTTCCGCACCGGAAACGTGTCGGGTGCCAGTGATTGCAGCAGTGCACGGCCCCTGCATTGGAGCGGGTGTGGACTTTATCACAGCGTGTGACTTGTGCTACGCTGACGAAAGTGCTCGTTTTGCCGTGAAGGAGGTGGATCTAGCGATCATCGCAGATATCGGTACGTTGCAACGACTGCCCAAGCTAGTGGGTGAGCGCCGCGCGAAGGAACTAGCATACACGGGTCGCAACGTCAACGGACTCGAAGCGGAGAAGCTTGGTCTTGTGCTGAAGGCATTGCCTGATCATGATGCGCTCATGGGTCACGTTGCAGACGTGGCGAAGGTCATTGCCAAGAAGAGCCCTCTCACGATACGCGGCATCAAGCAAACGATCCACTACCAACGGGACCACTCGACGGCCGACTCGCTGCTGCAAATCCGCTACCATAACGCATCGGTGCTGTATAGCGACGACTTGACGCAGGCTGTGGGCGCGATGATGAAGGGGACGGAGCCGACGTTTCGCGACGACTAGCAAGTACAGGTAGTGTCCAGCGACTTCAAATAACTTCGTATGCGCGATACGCATCTCCTATCGCCATCACTTGTCGCTTTACTCCATTATTCTTTCTACCACAAACGACCAAACTGACCTACCTCTACTCCTTGTTTCGCGCAGCAATAGCAGCCATGAGACCACCTCGTCCACCAGCTGGGCCGTCACCGCCGCCACGGCCCTTGATTGCAGAAAACAAATCACCACGACCCGGGCCACCCGGAGTACCGCGGCCTCGACCGCGGATTGAAGCCAGGAAGTTGACAGGTGCCGCTGGAGGAGCATCCCCATCATCGCCGCCGCCACCACCACGTTCTTTGAGCGCTGCAAAAAGATTATCACGACCACCACCACGGCCACTGCGTCCTCTACCTCGTCCAGCCATCAGCGGATGCGGCGCCCGACCTGAGCCGGGAGCTTCCTCGGCCGGTTTAGTTTCTGCCGGTGGAGCGGCACTTTTGTTCTTCTCCTTTGCTTCCTTCATGATTTCAACTCTCGTCTTCACGCGGCGAGTCATTGCTGGGCCCTTGTCCTTCATTGAGTCGAGAGTGCTTTGACTCTTTTCACCCAAATCCTTCATCAAGCCCCGAATGACAGGAATCGCCGATCGCAAACGCTTGTCACTTGCTTTTACTTCATCCATCCGCTCATCCATACCGTCGAAACAGTCAACTACCGCTTCACAGTATAGCAAGATCAGGTTGCATTCAATACAAGAACGCGTATCTTTCGTATCCAGCGCCAAATTTCGCTTGCCAGAAAGATTCATACCCGACCGCTCGGCAAATTTCAAGCTCACCAAACGAATCTCGTTCACTACTTCTCCAAACTCAGCCAGCTCCATCTTGATTGTTGCAGCAGTCTCGGTCCGTTCGAGCCGGCGCTTAAGTCTAGCTTGGAACCACTGCAACTGCCGATTCTCGATCTGATCCAGCGATGTGTCGATTAATTCGCATGCACCGTTTGCTTCTGCAACCATTCGCACGTTGCGATAGTGCTTTTTCAATGCGTCAGCACGCGAGTTAGCAAGCTTTGCTCGAGCCAATTCCTGCGCTTCTGCCAAAGCTCGCGCACCAGCATCATCGGGATTACCCTTTTGTACCGTCGATTCCATGTACACGTCGCCATCTGGATAGCCGAGGTCCTGATCGTATGCAGGGTTCTGATTTGCTTTAATCGGGCACTGCTTACCGATCATTGGACAGCCGATGTCAGGGTCATCGCGCGTGGCATACGGATGATTGTCCGCTGGTCCGTACTGCTTCACGTGTTTGTTGTATGAGTTCACAACGGTCTTAAACGTCTCCTTTAGAGTCTTAAACCACTCATACTTCTTCTTCGTCATTTCTTCACCCTGTTGGGTCTTCCAAATCTTTGCTACATCGCGTAGGTGCATGTGCATTGCTCGGCGTTCTGTTACTGTGAGACCAGTCACACGAAGATTTTCCAGCAGCGATGGGTGGTTCTTCGCAATATCCGCTGGGTCCATACGAATCAGTTCCAAGACATTCGATCGCTTAAACTTCCGAGCAACTTCACGAGGAAGTACCTTGCCGTTCGGTGATTTCACTGACTGCAAATCGGCTTCCGACATCTTCTTCACGTCAACTGGCATCATCCGGCGTACAGCCTTGAGAGCTTTCACGTTTTCTTCGTAGTTTTCCTCTTCCCACTCACGCTCCTTTCGCGCTTCTTCTGCAGCATACTCGTCGGTTAGCATCAGGGCCGTGTTATACTTCTCCATATCCTGCTCCAAACGATAGTATTCTTCGCGAAGCTGCTTCTGGATTGCTGCATCCGGATGCGTCACATCAGCAGAACCAATCTCTTGCATTCGTCTAGAGATTTCTTGCACCTTTGCCATAGCTTCTTCGTAAGGAATATCAGCAGCAACAGCAATACCAGCTTGTTGCAACTGTTTCTCGAGTTTCAATAGCCGGCGGAGCAGCTTTACTTGGTCGCTAGAGATGTCCAGGTTGGCTAGCATATCCTGGGCTCTTGGCTCCTCCTTCTGTCGGCCGGAACGGCTTCGCTTCAGTTTTTCAACTTCTGCTTGCAACGCTCGAATTTTCTCGTCGTACGCGTTGATGCCGTCAAAGAACGCTTGGATACCCAACTCATCGACACCATCCTCTTGCATTTTCTGCTTGACGGCGTCATTCGACTCGCCGTCTTGGATCATACGCCGATACACACCATAAATCGATGGCCCCTGAACGTCAGACTCCTGAATACGACGGTTTGCCTCAATCAGCTTTTGTGCCTCTTCCTGAGCCCGCCTGGCTTCTGCAAGCTGCTTCTCTGCTTCTTCTTTTGCGCGAGCTGCTTCCGCCATTGCTTTTTCCACTGCGGCCTTGCCTTCACGCTGTTCTTCGCGAGCTGCAGCCATAGCTGCTTCTGCCTTCTGTCGAGATTGCTCAAGTAGCATATGTGCTTCCTCCTGGGCTCGAGCAGCGTGATGTGTAGCTTCATCGGCAGCCATCTGAGCCTCGGCCTTAATCTTGACCATTTCGTCACGCTCATTCATCATACCGTTGCTGTCCAGGTCATCACCGAGACGGCCGCGCTCTTGGTCCTCTTCGTAAGCCTTCTGTTTGTTCACGTATTCCAGTGACAAGGTTAGCACAGCGCCGGCGGAACGGCTGCCAAGTGCTAGCGGATACTTCTTTGCCGTCTTTTGCATATTCGGCAGCGACTTCAACGGAATCGAAAGCGTTGCAATGAGCTCCGTGGTGCGGAACAAGTGCTCGTTGAAAATGCGGACCTCTACCACCATCTCATCGCTCGGAACTTCAAAGGAGGCTGAGTTGTCCTGTTTCCACACCGGCGAACGCTGGTTCTTCACCACGGAAGTTTTAAAAGTCTCTGCCCCTACAGTGACCTCACAAAGTGCGTTCACGGAACTGCCTGACTTTGTCAAATTAGTCGCAGACAGAACACCGACGTGAATGACAGGGGTCGAAAATGCATCGTAGTTGAACTGCGAAAGACGTCCACCGGCATTGCGGTCCAAGAACGTTCCATCCATCGAAACACTCTCGGTGCGCTGTGTTCGCAACGCCTTGGCTTCGCGCAGCGACTCCCCAAGATTCTGTGTGCGATTGACAGTCTTTGAGGCATCGATAGCCAACTTGATCGCATCCATCCAGCCTTTCTTGTCCGATTCTGATGTACAGGCCATCACCATACGACGATCATCCACGCGGAGCTCGAGCAAATACTCTGCTGTCACGTTTGGAGATCGACAAACCACGTCACCTGTTCCAGGTAGCGAACGAACGGTACAGCGGTGATCCAGAAAGCTCATCTCACCGCGCGCTGCTGTTGAGCTCGGGCTCTTGAAATACTCCACTTTTGACACACTCAACACAAAGTATCGCGACTTCCAATTGCGCATCACACGTCCCTGCTTGTACATACGCCCCTTCTTGATCGTCGCTGCTTTATTATCCAGAATCAACTGTGCAATAGACTGATTATCGTCACCGTCGTTGCCATCGTCCTTGACAATGCGTGGGTTATTCATGAGCTTTTGCTTCACGTTTGACGTCGACTCACGAAGCCGGAACGACTCGGAGTGACGAGAGTTTACACGCTGCACATCTGCCAGCTTATCTTTAGGTACAAACTGCAACGTCTTCGGGGCCGTCGCATTGCGCAGGACGTTCATGACTTCAAGGTACGGCATACACAACACGTCGGTCTCGTTTACCTTGTACACGATATCGCCAATCGTAATCATGCCGCTCGTCTTCGCCTGGCCTTTCAATGCGCGGACCACAGCTCCGTCAATACCGTATCGCACGGCTTCTTCTAGATTCAATCCCATGGGCCCATTATCAAACACGACGGCATACGTCGTCAGCTGCGTGTCCAGGTCGTCGTCTTTGTTCAGCTGGAACTTCTCTCGCACGACTTCTTGACGCCGCACTTCGTCAATCTCAAAGGAGATCGCCAACGGCCGCGGCATCTTCCGGATCAAGTCAATCGCGTCGGAAAACCCCATGCCGTCCACGCTCTGGCCGCCAATCGCGACGATCAAATCGCCCGCCTGCACCTTGTTCTCCAGCAACGGATTGTTAATGTTGTCGATCGCTAACCCGTGGTTAATCACACCGTCTTTGGGCGGCATCAGCTTCACGCCGAGCTTCTCCTTGGCAGGCAGCTCGATCACCACGACCTCAGGCACCGCGCCGTCTCCGTTGCTCAGATCAGCTACAGCTTCCGGCGGCTCTTCTTCCTCGGGACGCTCGGAGCCACAGGCGACACACGCCTCTTGGCCGTCTTCATTGGCCGTGAACTCACACGCCGTGCAGGTCCACGTCATCTCGCGTGCACTTTGCAATTAATTGACTTGGAGTGGCTCGTACCTAGTAGAGGTGGTCGTAGAAGCAGGACGGTCCTATCCTAGCACAGTAAATGTCGACACGTGAGGGGTCAGGATATCACTACTGAGAGAGGAGGTGTATAACACAAAAGAGGGGGACGAGTGCGTACTTAAGACGGAACCTACTCGTTGACTGTCCGGAACAACCGTCGGTAGCCTGACTAGACGCGAGAATCTGCGAGCGGACAGCAGGAAAGTCACTCGATGCGTTGAGACCGAGCCGCGTTGCTCCTGACGTGGCCTCCCTCCGCAAGGTCGGCGGGTTTCCTCAAGCCCCTTCTCCGATCTGGCGCGTTTCCCTTTTTGCGATCGACGATGATATTAGACCATCACTCCCTCAGCGTGCGGGCTAGGGCTTTAGAATGTGTGCAGTATTGGGAAGGAAAAAAAACGGCAGTGGTTTGGTGACTTTAGCATCTTGTGACGTGTCGGAATCGGTAGTTTTGCTCATTTTGTATCACGAGAGAGAGAGAAGAAGGGAGACTAAATAGGGAAAGGGGCACAAAACGGGCACCAGATTGTGCGACGCAAAGAGAGCAAAGTCGTAAAGAATCGACACCTTGTGCTCTTTTTTAGAGCACAAACAGACCGATTGCACGAGAGACCGCAAACGCCGCGTTTATGGTCCGGTCCAGTGCAGAGTAATGTCGCAACGATGCGACGACTGAAACGAGTGGTCGATCGCTGGCCCGTACCACTAGAGCATGTGTGGTTGGTACCGGCTGTTTGCTATTGTTGTCAATGCAGGCTCGCAAACGAGTATGAATAGAGAAGGAAACATGTAAAGTAGTCGTGTTAAAGAGGCTTCACTATGTCCCGGGTAAATATTGTCGTATTTGAGCTCTGCACGTAGCTTACGAATGCTATATTATGACAATATGAAGCTAAAAACCTTTCGACGCGTGACGATGCAGAGTATGTAACGGGGCACGTCCGTTACATGATATTTTACATGAGGAAAACATCAATTATGAATATTATGTTAGAACAAACACGATATTCTTACAATATCATGTCAACAGATAAAATTGCTTCGCAGATGTAATACACTGCTCATTTGATGATGTAAGACCAAGATATCAACCAATTAAGTCTAGCCTCGACGGAAGCACGCAATGAGTGGTGGGTAGATAGTTACAATACATGTTCGTACTTAGACATAGTTAAATGAAGTCAAATAGGGATTTATTTAAAGGATCAGCTATGCTAAATGTAGTTCTACTTTTTACCTTCACTAAGTTGCTCTTACTCCGTTGAACGATCTTCCTCTGCACGTACGTGCACGTGGGGTAGTCGGACGAACACACCCATGCGCTGTAAGCAGTGTAAGGTTGATTCAGTAAGTTGAATAAGAGATGCCCCGTTACACCTGGTAGCACTGCGTGGTTCCCTCAACGACCATGAACATGTTGAACGATGCGCGAGATAGTTTTGATCCCACATGCGGAAGCTTCTCCCATTTGAGTCAAATCGAATAGGGCGTCGCCGAACGTTTGAGTTCGACAATAGGGCAAGAAGACATTGACGCAATGCTGTCTGCCCTGAGTCCAGACAGACAGCACGCCAACATCGCCAAGCTCATTTAGAATGAACTTGACGTCGAGCGGGAAGCGGTAAGCTTGCTTTACCAACAAGGTTCTCAACTGATGGAGCTTTTAAGAAACCATAGTGCTCAGCAGTTTGAACTGTTGAGACAGCAGCAGGCCACTTCTATCAGGTCGACGTGCACACATCGACCCGAGCCTCTAAATATTGACACCTCAAAGTACAATGTATCCGATGAAGACTCTCCGTTGAGATGGTTCGTGGAACTAGACGATGCCACAAAGAATCGTCACATCATCGATGAGCAAATTCATATTGCATCTGTTCAACCGAACTTGGCAGGGCGTGTAAAGACGTGGGCCTTGCTCCTTAAGTTACACTACCCATATGTCTTCGGGTCGTTTAAAGTCTTCAAGTCACTGCTAAGGCGAACATCTGGGCCGCCGCAAGCTGATATCAGGGATTGCTCCAAACTCGAGAAATTCAAACAAGACAAACGTGACGTATACTTGTACATTCAGTACATACGTCACCTTACCAGTTGCGTTTAAGTTGATCCACTGACGAACAAACGTTGATCAAACTGTTCATGCAGGGTCTTACAGATGGCACTTTAAGGAACTACCTGTTCCGATTGAATATCAACACCCTGAAAGAGGCAATCTATGTTGCGGAATAGGAAGACTTCCACGTCAAACAAGCTCACATGGAATCGAATTCCTATCTTTCCCGGGACAACTAGAAAGTGGGAGCCCACTTCCAATGGACCTCTGCTATACTGAGATTAGTAGCTTTCTCATTACCAATTGTGGAGAATGTAGAGGTGCTATAGCTGTGAAAGAGAGAGAGTATGCATGCAGTTATAGTGCCCCCAACACGTTACCTTGTACCACAGATACTAATTACTTTCGGCCGTTTTAGAAGGGTACAAGGCGTGGGTCAGGAGCTGTTGTGAAAAACGCAACATCGTAACGGACAGATAAAAGGTCTGGATCAGTAGGTGCGGAGCACTATACTGAACCAGCAATGTTAAGGAAAAGGTTGCCTTTTTGAAGAGAGTTGCTCCCAACACACAATCATTGGTGTGCTACTGCACCTAGTATCAATTTTTACGGGGTGAGTTCCCCGTTACCGTTGAATGATTATAGTGCTTCGAGGAAGCGCTTGTGTTAAAGCCGATCGATATCGGGTACAAAAGCCTAGGCGATTCAGCTAAGTACGAGGTGGTCTTGGCTGAATCGTTCGTGGGATGACAGCCAGCTTTTTGGTTGTTACCGTTGGGAGGACCCAACGTTCTTAACCCCATCTAATTAGAACGGTCCCAGACTGTAGAAATATCATGGAACCGCGATTAAGGGAACGCGATCAGAGGACATCGATTAAGGGACCGCGATCAAGGGGCTGCGACCAAAGACCGCTGTCAGGGACTGCGATCCGGCGTGGGCCACGTGATGTAGAAGGATTGCAAATTCATTCGGCATGGAGAAGACACGTGGCGGTCAATCCTGACATACGGAGTAGGCGTAGTTATAGTTTTGAAATTTGGTTAGTTAACATAAAAGAGGGTTTATTTTGCTTCTAAACACATACGTGTCGTTCTTCTTCCGGGTTGGTTATTTTGGCCTTTTGACGTCAGAGAGATTCGGCATCAAGGGCAGGAAAATCACTCCTGGAGCTATTTGGCCAGGAGTGCAACGACTAACACACGCATAAACTGCGATCCAGCACAGGCAACCTTACTGGTTGAAGTACAAGATTGCGAAACGGCTCAAGTGGTCAGAAGTCTCGCGACTCAAGAACCCCATTTTTGTCACAAGGCGATCAAGGCTGATCGTGGCAACTCTAGGAGGGCGCCAACCAAAAACACGCGATCGGGTGAGGAACTCCACCCAATCGACACCAATCTCGAAAACGGTCAAGTTCAGCATCGAGTCAAGTTCACATGGAAGGTGCGACCCGCACTACCTACGGGTACACAAGGTGAGTAGGAAACAATGCAAGCATAATCGGAGTACCCCCTCCGTAAATCGGCTGTCTGGGGCGCCAGTGGAGAGTCAGGATCGCCTCATATAATGAGCGAACCCCACTCCACCACACGCTCTTTTTTATATGTGATATAAGTCTGATATTTTAAATTGTAACTAAAAGTAAATGCGAATTTGTTCACTGTTTCATTCAAATTGCTTGTATAGAACTGGTTGTTATTTAATAAAAACTGGGTCTAAAACTCCGATAATGAACTAATCAGAAAGAGACGCGCAGTTCCCGCTATCCGGATACTGCCTTGCCTCACTTTCGTAATTCAACCCACAACTGCTCAACATGTTGGGTTTCCCTTTTACATCACTATCTCTCTAAGTTGCGCTTATCGCAACGTAATATCAATATGCAGCAGGCTTCGTTTCAAACATTTGGTCCAACGAAAAGCCCAACAAAAATTCTAATGGCATCTTTTCTTGATCTTTAAAAATGCTCAGTCACATAAGACAGAGAAGCAAGGCCCTAATTACCTACGCGCCGGGTATTTAAACAACGGTTAAAACCGTCAGGCGAGGATCTGCAGAAAACAGGCGCCTCAAGTCATGGAATAGAACTTCAAGTTGTAGATTCTGTACAGTCTTGCAGGTACTAAAGAAGTTGAACTATTTGCGACAACAGATTCTCTTCAAACGTACCTTTCGAGACAGAGAGACGAACCCTCGTGACAGAAGTCCATATTTTCTGTACCTCCATACTCCTGTAGAAATGACACGTGTTAGCAACTCAAATTTGCATGAGTCTGTTTCACGCTGAAGTCTTCCTATTCCGCAACATAGATTGCCTCTTTCAGGGTGTTGATATTCAATCGGAACAGGTAGTTCCTTAAAGTGCCATCTGTAAGACCCTGCATGAACAGTTTGATCAACGTTTGTTCGTCAGTGGATCAACTTAAACGCAACTGGTAAGGTGACGTATGTACTGAATGTACAAGTATACGTCACGTTTGTCTTGTTTGAATTTCTCGAGTTTGGAGCAATCCCTGATATCAGCTTGCGGCGGCCCAGATGTTCGCCTTAGCAGTGACTTGAAGACTTTAAACGACCCGAAGACATATGGGTAGTGTAACTTAAGGAGCAAGGCCCACGTCTTTACACGCCCTGCCAAGTTCGGTTGAACAGATGCAATATGAATTTGCTCATCGATGATGTGACGATTCTTTGTGCATCGTCTAGTTCCACGAACCATCTCAACGGAGAGTCTTCATCGGATACATTGTACTTTGAGGTGTCAATATTTAGAGGCTCGGGTCGATGTGTGCACGTCGACCTGATAGAAGTGGCCTGCTGCTGTCTCAACAGTTCAAACTGCTGAGCACTATGGTTTCTTAAAAGCTCCATCAGTTGAGAACCTTGTTG